TTTAGATTATCTAGGGCTGTACAAGATTTAAAAAAACATTGCCGGGTTACCGTAGAGGCCTAAAAAAATCGCGCCTCGGCGGCAAGCCGCCTCGGCATTAAGAATGCGCATCTAAATTTTTATATGTCCTTCTTTCTTTTATTTTTCCCTTCCCTTTCTTTTCTTTTTCTTTTTTTCCCTCCTCTTGCTCTCATTTACCTTTTTTTCCTTTTCTCATCATTTTTCAAAATTTAAAATTTTTATCAAAAATCTTGCCTATAAAAGCAGACTATGGAACCTTTTAATGCCTCTTAATCAATATTATACAGCATAAAGCATATTAAATGAAAGTAATTACGTATAAATTTATTTTATTATCTTATTTATTAATTCTTTAGCATGTATTGTTTAATATTAACTTTTCTGTACATTAAATATGATATCTCCAAAGTATGAATGCCTTGTAACGAAACGAAAACTTAATTTTCTGTTGAATATTTGTCACAAACATTAGATTATTAAAATATATGTTGGATATCCCTTAGTATGAGACTTCATGACTCTTGTTGTCTAACGTGAGCTTTGGATTGCAAGCTCTGTGGTTAACGAACATAAATTAATTGTAAAGTTTTCAAAAATTTTCATCGTTTCTATCAGCATCTATTTTTCCTTTAAAATAATATATTTGTATGAATACAATATTTAGTAATTTTTTTATTTCCCATAATTTCATTCAAAATTTCAGAAAAAATTAATTTCTATTCAATATTATTTCAGCTTCAAAACACTTCATTCTTATAGATGTTGATTCACTAAAGTGTGATTCTATTTATATGAGGTAGGGGCATGAGGCTCGGCAAGTCTTATTGCTTTTTACCTCAATTTAGGTATTAAATAATTATAATGATTCATAGTGGCCGCTGCTGACTGGCCATCAGCAGTCCCCTGGCCAAGATTAATATAATTATTTAATACTTATCCAGTTTTACATCAATAACAACAAAGCTAATCAATCATCATTCAGAAATGCGGGAAATTACTACTAATATTAAAGATTGATAGACATTAGGCTGGCCACCTTCTGTCTAATATCTTTACGAATAAAAATAATACTTTTTAAAACAAATTATTTAATAAATTTTATTAAAAAACAAAATCAAATATCAAATTGATCATCATTCAACTTGATGAAGAAGCGGCATGCTACATATTCTTCTTTGCATGATTCGTTCATTGAATTTCTTGTCTTTCGCAATTCAGATATTACACGTTCTACATCTGCTTCACTGCACGAAAGTGACATCATCCTTTTTCCAATTGGTCTTATTGCTTTTAGTTGCTTTATGCCATTCATGTACCAAAACTTGCCATCATTTTGAGCAAGATGATGACCATTTATAAGATGGGAATCATCTTGCTCTATGAAGAAATCGTAAGCATCACTCAATTCCTTGGCTCTATCGTCTTTATTGATCGTTGGATCAACTGTTGATTCGGCAATTGCTCTTTGTCTGAGGATTGTTATCATGAATGTGTATAGATCTTTTATCTCTTCATCTACAACATCCCAGACCAAGGAATTCCTCGAACCATCGGCATTTGTTTCGGCTGCATGATCGTCGTTAAGCATTTGTTCCTCTTCTGCTTGCTGGATCTCTTCATCATGCTCGGCTACCTCGTCAACACGTTCTGTTCGTTCTTCTTCAAGGATTTCGCCGAGTTTCTCAAATGTGATCTCGCGATTGATGATCCTCAGGGAAGGAATCGTTGGGACTTGCACATCTTTCAACTGCATTATAGGTGGATAGCTTGTCTTTCCTCCAAAACCCTTCTTGTCTCTGATGATCTTCCTTGCTAACGGTGTAAAGCCGAAAGCAAACCGAAGCAAATCAATTCTACCATATTCTTTCATATCATTTTTGAATATTGTAGTGATTGATCGGAGAATCTCTTCACCATCTGGCGTTAATCTTCCTGCCATTTCATCCAACATCCCTTGGCACTGTTGTATCATCAGGAATGCATAAGCACCCATGGACTTGTTGGATTCCAGCCATAATTGAAGTTGCTTTAATGGCTTGAATATCATTAAAGCATCTTTAAAGAGTGGAGGAATTCCATCACGTGTCCATTGTAACTGTTCACGTGTAGCTCTGGAAAGGGATAGTGGAAGATCTCCACTTCTTAAAGCAGTATTAATTGTTTCCAGATTATCAAAGATGAAAAACAGAGTATCATATATGTAGAGCCAGCGAGTTTCCGGGATTGATGGAACCCTGATCTTGTATCTCGCTCTCATATCGTGATTCTTAAAGATAATGATAATCTGGTGAACTCTATTCATCAGTTCATTCAACAATGGACATTGCTTACGTGCGTGGACAATAGCATTGTTCAAGACGTGGTTAAGGCAACGAATGTACACGGTTTGTAAGCCAGGGAAAAGGGCTCCTTCTGGCCTCCAGTGGCAGAGTCCTTTAACCTGGGCTGGCAAACCATCTCCGACTACTCCAGCTACGTGGTTTTTATTAACCTTAAGAGAATCAAACCACGTATGGTAGTCCTCGTATGTCCAATTAGTCGAAATTGTTGTGTCGAAGAATTGGTGGCGATCTGTTTTGCCTGGATTGCACACACAAGAGAATAGACCATGACGGCTGCCGTGTGTTCCGCAGTCCAGGGAAATTGAGAAGATGCGGAATTCCTCGCAGAACTTTAGGCCCCGAGAGGAGTCTGTTTTGCCTAAAGTAATCAATGCCTCTCTGACACCGCGCCGTGTGAACTCAATGTCTGGGATTGTAAAGTTGATGCCCTGTTCGCGATTGACTTTATTTTTAAGCCATTTGGCGAAGCTCTCTAGGAAGCTTTTAAATGCTGGCTTCATTGTGGCATAAAGGCTTATATCTAGGCTCGCAATAAGCCTGGCAATGATCTCTTCTAACGAAGGATCATTACCAGAGCCAACTGCTTGCTGAGTATTCTCAACTTGGTGCTCAGCAGGAACGTAGTTGGGCATTGGGAGTAAAAATTTGCACTTATGATCTTTAAAATCATTTTTCCTGCTTTTTTTAATGCATCGCACGAACTGCCCTTGAACTAATGTTTCACTACATTCGGCACAGTATGTAAAGAGCCTTCCTTTGTCTGATTGATTAGGCTCATTCTCATAATAGCCGATCGTAGTGAAACATTTTTTCCACACTTTGTTTCCAATGTTTCAGGAGTTGGTGGATATTTCGTCTTCTTAAATGGAATCCACTCATCATATACATGAGGATCCCATGCAGTCATAATAAAAATAAAGCTTTTTGAATATATTCAATTTTTAAATGATATTTTCACGGGTTAAATATAAAATAAAGAATAAGATGTAAATTATTAAAATATTTAATTTTAAATTTTGAACCCGTGATAAATATTTTTTTGCATTGTTATTAATAATGAAAAATAAAGCTTATTTCAATGAAAATTGTTCTGCAAATTTATTTCACTTTTGACCTCACTTTTTCCGTAATTCAATTTTTTACTTTAATATTTTAGATCTTCATAATATATCATTTGAAAAATTAACATATAAAAAAATCAAGTTATCAATTCACTTTTTCCGTAATTCAAAAATCAAAAATATAAATAATATATCTTTTATCAAATATTTTATTATATTCTATGAAAAATGAGGTCCGGAAATTTTGCGGATTCCCGTAACTCAATTTTACGGAAAAAGTGCAGTAAACTATTCAAAATACGGAAAATGGTGTAAACTAATGATTTTACGGTAAAATCACGGAAAGTCCCGGAAGAATATATGTGCCTATATGAAATTATACAAAAATGAATCAAACGCATTTTAAAAGATTGTTCTTGTATTATAAATGCTATTCGCAGATTTATTAGTTGAAGAAAATTACAAATTTTTGCCGATTTACAAAAAATGATTTACAAAGCATATTTTATAAGGCTTAAAAAATCTTTAAAATGTCACCGGTGACGGAAATCCATGGTAACCAACGCGGTTCCCGTTTGGAATGCCATAAGATTATCTTATCTAATATTAAAATGATTGATCTATTTACATTTTTAAAATAGTCCTAAAAAGTCTCAATATTTATAAAAGCATAATAAAATTAAATTTTTTAATATCATTTTGTAAATTATTCGTTTACTTTATGGCATAGTCTTGAAAAAGTATCAAAAAACATTATCTTAATGGTCTCTAAAGAGGTTAAGTAGCATACACACAGATATGCTAATGTGGTAAAAAGAGATTTATTGCAAAAAGTCCAAAATAATATATTTATTATCAAGATTCGCGTGGAAACGTACGAGTTTGGGACGAATAACTAACATTCTTAAACATTTAGTAATACTCTGATAAGTACAAGTCCTTAGATGCGACATCTGGCTTCTTTTGTTCTAACTTACCAAATTCAAGAACTCAAGTTGGCAGTAACTCTGTACTAAACATACTCTAAGAGCTTGTCATTATTCCGTGTATGACAAATCATACTTTAATGTTTTACTCGTTGAATAAAGAATGCTTGATTTTGAAATCGAATGTTTTTGCTTAAATAGTTCCAGATTCTTGAACTAGGGACGGAATTAGAGGACACGTCTTTGCTGGTTAGTCGCGTGCTTGATGACAATATGCTACAATTATAATAAACGTACAAAAGGGACGAAAATTGAGAGCTTGTAACTTTCAACCTGATATCAGATTGTGAGCTTTACAAAATTTGCAAGGCGAATTTTGCTCCGTTCATAATCTGAATCATGAATTTCATATTATGAGCCAAATTGAAAACCGTTTCACTTCATTCAATTTTTCTCATAAGATTCTAAATTGTGAAGACTGTTAAAACAATCCAGTTTTTGAATCAAAAAATGATCGTATACTTGAGATTATAATTTTTGATATAATTAAATCTACATTAAAAGCAGTATTTATTAATTTTTTGCGACTAGTTTTTTTTTAACAATTTTAAATAGTCGCAAAAAAATTTCGAAGTCAATTTATTTTTATAATGCTGATTTATTCTTTAATATTCGTTAAATCTTATACTTTGTTTAGTAATAGATACGTCCCGTTGGTTAAAGAAGATAATGATAATGATTTAATATATGTTAACAAAGAATTAACTTATAATGAAATTTTTGAAATAAAACACTCCCATTTAGTTAGTGGAACAGGCACATATGTTGGAAATGTATCATCTGAAGTCCAAATTACTAACCCATTTTCATTAATATTCGAACCCCGTTTAGATCCTGTCATTTATACTTGTCTTTCCCCGATATGCAATCTCTCATTTCTCGATGTAACAATTGTTTCTACAGTAAACAAAACATCAGGAAGCTTTAAATACGGTGGGCACAGTTCATTTAAAGAATCATTAATTAAAATTTTTGGAAAGTTCACATATCCCAATATATCAGTTAATGACGAATTAACCAGAATTTATTTCTCTACAAAAAGCTCTGATTCTCAGAGTTTCTTTACATGCCATTATGCGTTTAACTTCAAAAATACATTTTATAACCTACTTAGAGGAATATTTGTTTATCATTTAAGTCCTCAAGGAAGGTCATCAAAATATAGAGTTGTAAAATCATCTCATGAAACCCCAAGGTTGACATTTTATAATCAATCAAATTCTCCAATAATAGAAAATGAAGAAACCAAGTATGAAAGCACAGGATTTATACTACTTCCAGATGTTAATATATATGATTCAACAATAAGCAACAACACTCTATCATACACGTTCGAAGTTGAAGATGACGAAATTTATCACAAAAATGTTCACCATTTCCCTCCAGATCTAAGTTTACTTATTCCTGATGGATTTCACACATTAGAAGAAGTAAAGGATATGAACAAAAATATGTCGGAAGACTATAAAAAGAATCAAACTATTACTAATGAATTAATTTCGACATTAGAAGAACTTGAAGAAAAATATCCTGTTGAATCCGAATATGAAGGAATTTCTTATCGAGACTTTAATATTAAAGTTTATTATTGGACTAATCTTACTGTTTTAATTTTGTTAATTATTTGTGGAATTTACCCTTGTTGCAAAAAAGACGTTGAGGAAGCTTTTGATGGATTAGACTCTAATGATGACATGTCAGATTATGGTTAGAAAAGGAGACACGGAAAGTATTCATGTAATTTCATCTTATCAATTATAAAAAAATAGTTTATTCGCAAAAATTTTATTAGATAACTTTTTTGTAGATGCATGAAATAAATTGAAGTTTCTATTATATTTGGACAAAATTTGTCCGGATTTTTAATCATTTGAGAATAAATGTTCATTCATTGGTTCGAATTCGGTGATTTCATCCATCAATTAAAATAGTGGTATAAAATTTTCATCAGGTATAAGCTGCTGCAATAGAGTTCATATCTAATGTCTTGCCGAAATTGCCAATTTTTCCAAATTTTTTCAACTTCATCAAGTACCTCAGATGAGGAACAAAGTCAACAATCAGATGTTGATTGAAGAAGAAAGTCTTCAAAGATCTTTGTTAAGAGTCTTTGAAGTCTTTATTCCTCATCTGAGGTACAATACCTTATCAAGTACCTCAGATGAGGAACAAAGTCAACAATCAGATGTTGATTGAAGAAGAAAGTCTTCAAAGATCTTTGTTAAGAGTCTTTGAAGTCTTTATTCCTCATCTGAGGTACAATACCTTATCAAGTACCTCAGATGAGGAACAAAGTCAACAATCAGATGTTGATTGAAGAAGAAAGTCTTCAAAGATCTTTGTTAAGAGTCTTTGAAGTCTTTATTCCTCATCTGAGGTACAATACCTTATCAAGTACCTCAGATGAGGAACAAAGTCAACAATCAACATCTGATTGTCGACAAAAGACTTGAAAAATTGCAACAAACAATATTTTAAGTCTTTGTTCCTCATATGCGGTACAATAACTCTGTATATACCTCAGATGAGGAACTTTTGAAATAATCATATTCTGATCATCCTCAAACAAATAAACTCTGCTCATAAAGCATAATACTCTAATAATGAAGCACTTCCTCATATGCATCTAATGTTAAAAACTTAAAATTTTGTTACATTTTTCATATTCCATGCCTCTTATATGATAACTTATATATATCACAGCATTTTATTATTATACATCACATATATAATTAAATTATGCTATTTATACATCCTTAAACTATAGTTTGGGCTTGGTGAATCTTATGTGATTCTTGAGAAATATCAATGCCCGACCAGACTCTTTGCCACAGATATCGCTAGGATATTGTCAATCATTCTATGTACAAGTCACATAATTTTGACGGATTCTCCAAAATTATATCTTCAATCAGAATCCATATCCTGCACAAGCGCATGAGATGCACCTCCAGAATGAGTTAGAATTTTTGATGAATTTTATTCAGTGCTAAACTCATTATTTAAAAAAATTCGATGTAAACTATTCAAATTTTGGAGATGTAGGCAAGACGATAGCATTTTTTTGGATTAGTGTCACACAAGACTTGAAACATTGTTTGTAACAATCTTTTAAGTCTTTGTTCATCATCTGAGGAATAATGTCTCAACAAGTACTTCAGATTGGGAACAATATTTGTTATGCCTTCAGATCATTTTCATAAGTGGCTTATTCTTATATTATATAGATAACACAATTCATCTTCCCTTACATATTCTTAATTCTAGAATCTCTTTTTTATTATATGTAATCTTATGTATATCACAGTTATAATATGTTATATATACTATATAATAATGATGATTATTAAAATTTCATGCTTAAACCTTTTTTTTCGTTTTTGCAATCTTCAAGGATTTCAGTATCGACCATAACGCACGCCATTATTATAGCAAGGATGTTTTAATTCATTCTATATATAATTCAAAAAAAATGCCTCAATCTCCAAAATTAATACATACACCACCACAATTAGTTAGAATTTTGGATGAATTTTATTCATCCCTAGGTATATTCCTTATCAAATGGTGTTGTAAACTACTCAAAATTTGGCAATATTGTGAAGACGATAAGAATTTTTTGGATTAATTTCTGCTTCAACAGGTACAAATGATATTTTTATGATGATTAACTTCAAATCAAATGCCATTAGCCCGAAACCAAAAAAATAAGATAAGATAATAAGATTTTTAAAAAGTTATGTATTGGTTTGTCAAAATAGATTTAGAAATGATTTAGCTCCACGTTGGCTTAAAAACTGAACAATTTCTGATGCATTTCTATTTTCAGCAATCGAGAGAGGTGAAAAATATCCTTCAAAAAGTAATGGAAAATATGAATATTATTTTGAATTCTGTAATAATTAGACAATAATGAATTACTCTTCCATCAATATCGGCCCCATGCTCAACTAAGAACTGAACAAATTCCAATGAATTTTGCTGAATTGCATAGACAAGTGGAGATATATGATTGTAAAAAGAATTAGATGAAATAAATGAGAGATATGGTAAATAAAAGAATTGCGTATTTTAATGAAAAATATGAATCAAAAAAGAATTGTTTCTTAATTGATTGAAAGATATCAAATGAAAAGGAATATTGTAATATAATGATAGATATTAATTGAAAAAGTATCCTTGGATAAAATGAAAATTAATACCATAATTCAGTGATTGATATTAATTGAAGAAGAACTACATCAATATTTGAATAATGTAACAAAAAATATAATTTTTTGATTGTACAATGAATGATGCGCTTTTCAATGTCAGCACCTTTTTCAAGTAAGTAAGTAAGAATGTCCTTTGATTTATGCATCATTGCAACAATGAGTGGGGTTACATGATTATTAAAATAAATTTCAAAACATTATGAAAGATATTAGTCTATAAACAATATGATAACGAAAAGAAGAATATGATGTTATAAATAACTGCATTAGTTGAAATGTAATACCAAGAATCATTGAATGATATCAATCGAAAATGAAGTTCAGAACAAAATGAATGACATTTGAATGATGAGAATAAGCTGATAAATTGATAAATATACATTGATAAAGAATAAGCATGGCATTAACATCAGCACCATTCTCAACCAAATATTTCACAATATCCATGGAATTAAATTTAATTGCAATTGTGAGCAGTGATGATCTATAAAATGAAAAAGAGCTACTTAAATCAATGAAATACATAAACAAAAGTTAAATAGAGTATCCATCAATGGCCTAAGAAATTGATAAACGAATACTGCATTGATATCTTCACAATTATCAAGTAAATATGAAGTAATTCCAAAGTTTCCGTAGTACATGCTTTCTACGATTGAATAAAAAACTTGTCCCTTATTTGTGATTAAATAGTCTGCCATATCGTAATAGTGACGGTTCAAAAGCGTTCTTAAGGAGTCAAATGATATGCCATCATTTTCCATTACTGACTCGAGAGGAATCAGTGTATTTTGCTCCCTTGTTCCTGAAGTAATTGAAACATAATTCTGATCCATTTATAATAGCGACATCAAGTGGAGGATCCTTCATTTTCTTTCCATTCAACGGAATATCAGAAAATTTAGGTTCAATCATATCAACTCTGTCCGAAGCAATGTAAAAGTTGACAGTATTTTCTTCATAAGGGTTGAGAATTTTGTGAATTTCTTCACTAGTTGGAGGTTCAGAAAGAAAATCGTGGAATCCTTTATCGTATAATAATATTGCCAACTGTGAACAATCTGGCTTAATATTCAATGAAAATTCATTGAGAATTCTTTGATATAAATCAGAATACAAAGAAATTTGTTTTGATTTAAATTCTGCCACGATATTAATGAAGTGAAAGGCCATTTGAGGTGGTACATTTTGTGTTTTGATGAGATTTATGATTTGGTCAGTGTATTGATCGAAATTTTCCGAATTTAATCCCCATATTAATTTAGAAAGCTGATTAGGTGCCTTAAATACATCAAGAAGATATTCAGAATCCATTTCGGCCATTGGTGTTTCAGTGGGCAAAGGAATATTCATCCTGAAAATGGAAAATTAAATTTTCGGACCAAACGGTCTGTATCGTCATTTCGGATCTTATTTATACATCGAGATGTGAAAAAATGATCATTTTTGTAAATATTTAGAAAGGGGAATTTTCCTGGAAATTATATTTCAAATGATTTTCAATACGCTCAGAAAAACTAAAGTTTTCAGAGGAATTTTATTTTCATGAAAGTTGAAAATCGGTTAAAATACAAAAATAGTTCTAGTTTTTAGGATTCATAATTAATTACGTATTTGGAAAGAAATTTTCAAATTCGAAAAGAAATTGGCAGAACTATTCGTTAAAATGACGTAAAATACGAAATTCCGTCACATAATTGTGTCAAATGTCGTAAATACATCTCCTTATAGACCACTTTTTCTATGATCTATCCAAATTCCGAAAATTCTAAGTGAAAAGGTTCTTTAATGCATTATCACTTCATATATATGTATGTCTGAGATTAGAAATTTGCTGCATTCTATAAAATACATGCAAATACTTGATCTCAATAAACACATTTTTCCTTAGTAAAGTTTCATAATCGTTTTTCTGCCTCGATATTGAGTGAATCTCTATCAAAAATTCGAATGAAAGACTTTACGAAGGAAAAGGAGTTTATTTCAAACTTATTAATTTAATATTGTTGCATTTCATATAAATTATTTATTTAATAGGTGTCTGTTCGTAATGGATAAAAGCATTGGTGAGGTTTGTACATTGAAAATCAGTCAAGTATTGAATCATTTTCAATTCAATAAAAAAAATTGATCAAAATTTTTAATGAATTTTAACCCAAATGAACCTATTCCAAACATAAGCTATTATGAGCAAAGGTTTAGAGAAATCGTGTATAACTATTTTCCTTATCTGCTCGGACTTCATGCAGAAATGGAATTGCTGCCATATTCTTTTGCTGATTCAATTAAAGAAGATGTTCGAGATAAAGTAGCATATAAGACAGAAATAAGGAAGAGACATGAATATTTCTTATACTCCCATATATCACGTTCTTACGATGATGTACCTCATGTATTTTGCACAGAGACTTTGTGGAAAGCTAAACAGTTTGAATTCAGAGCTGCATCACATAGAGATTTTGGATATTGTGACATATTCAAAGATGCTATGATTCATGGTTTCATTCCAGAACATAAAGGGAAGATGCCAGATACAGAACTTTCAGAGATAGAAAAATTTGTTAACAACGCGAAACCAGAAGATTTCCTAATATACAATCCAGAAACAGAAGAAATGGTTTCATACAGTTGGTGGAACGAACACCGATTAAACGTTGCAATCAGAGACCGATATGTTCCACATTGGGGAACACATTACATCGGATATGGACCAGCAGTAAGTCATTGGGATTCTAAAGAGAAAAAATATCAATGGTTTATCGATATTTTAAATGGCATGGAATAACAAAAATAATAAATATTCCTATTATTGTTGAATTCTCATTTTTTATTAAAATTTATAGCCCGAAATTTGCCTAATGAGTTTAAAAATGTAAATATTTGGTATGATACATGCATTTAGGAACTCGGTGAGTACATTTGAAGTAACAATTGTAAAAAATTTATTTACAATATCCGTTGTATTTCAATTTGAGACTGCCAGTTAAATAAGAACAAACTGTAAAAGCAAATAAATGAATGTAAGCAGTAAGAATTTTCTTCTGTTCATAATTTTATCGACATTCTTTTTCTATGTTTCATATTTGATTAATTGTTATATGATTTATACTAAAGGAATTTGTGAGTTAATTGTATCAGTTAATGAGATGTACGAAGTTTGATTTATGATCTAGAAGATATATTAATTTGAAATGAATGTGAATTTAATTTTAATAATTGAAAAAATATAAATCAAACTCTTTTCATTTCCTTCACTTTATATCAAATTACTTCAATATTTGGTCAAATTTCCAACTTTCATTTTCCAGAGTTTAAATTTATTGATTTGTGTTGGATTTGCTTTTACAGACTTAACTTGGCTGTTTTTACATTTAAAAAGTTTCAAAAACACATATTTTCTCTCTTCATATTCTGATACCCTGACTTATGTTCACAGATACTATGTTTATACACTTTTCTTCATAAAATATCATTTCATCTATATTTAAGCGTTCAAAACACATTTTCCCACGTGACACGAATCCACGGGCTCAGTTGATTCGATTTTCTGCTATCATATCAGATCATGAAAACACGCATCACATAGCAAAATGGATTCAAATTTAAGCTTACGAGCTTTACATTATTTAAATATTTAGTGTAAAGCAATATAAATCAGATTAAAATAGTGTAAAGCTCACATATATATTAATCAAATTAACATTTTAATGAAAGCTTCTGATCAATTAATATGCCGGAACATATACTATTGAATAAATATTATTAGTTTTGCATCCATATACAATCCAGATTCAGAATTTTTTGCGATATGAAACGATGGCATTATGCTAGTGGGGACATCCCACATCGGCCAAAAATGAAAATACGCAATTATTGAAATATTCTAAATAACTTATATTGCAACATAACAAATTTATTAAATAATTACAAACAAGATAAATAATAAATAATAAAATTAAGAAATTAGTATCATAAAAATAGGACAATACTTGTATTGTTCGAGATTTAATGATGTTTTCAAGTATGCGTAGCCTAAGAATAAGTGTTCTTTGTCGAATAACGGAACTCGAATGAGATCTTTGATTCCATCAAATTTTTCTTCATCAATATAGAGAATCCTGTCCCCATTTGTTGAAACAGATCCATTGTTAAATCGTGCATTATAAAGGAAAGCTTTCTTCCCTTGTTTCTGCGTTGAAATTCCGAATGTTTTGATTTCGGATTTCTTTTTCCAAACAATTTGTTTTTCCATGAAATCTCCGTACGAAATTAGCATTCCCATTTCTTGTGGTGTTGGAGGAATGTCTGACTGGAATGCTGCATCTGTTTCTAGAGAAACATTTCTGTTGAAAGGAACTTTCGGCTTTTCGCTCTCAAAGAAGAAATTAAACAAATTAACATATGAATCACTCAAAACATTATTTTGGCAATATGAGCTAATCAATGTTGAAGCAATCTTACACCACAATTGTCTTCTCTTTGTGTCTCTTCCGAATGGTGGAGTGAAATACTCCAAAAGAGAATTAACAAATGGCATTATTTGTTGCAAATTCATTGGAAAATCATTTCGATGTGCTAAAACTAACAACAAATACAGCATTGCTCTGGCGATGTTGTTATTAAGACGCAAATAATAAGGTGTGAGTCTTAAGAACTTAGTTGCACCGTTCATTGTCATAAACTTAGAAACTCTGATGTAAAAATTCGAAGTGAAATGAGGAATGTTTTTGGAATCTTCTTCATTTGTCAAAATAAAGTAATTGTTAAATTTGTTTTTGTGTGAATAGAACTGTAAATAATCAACAACAAACAAAGGTAAATTAGTATCATAAATAATCATCAATACTGCATTTTCTTTTCTGCATAAACTAAAGATAGAATCTAAATCATTTGGAGAATTCAAAGATGTAAAAGATCCAATTGTTAAAAGACTCAAATTATGAGCGGAAAGCATCGAATTCATGCATCTAGCATATAAATCTGTAGGAATCAAGTCATCCAAGATAACAGTGATTCCGAAATGTTGAGGAATAACAATGTTTTCTGGACTTGTAAATGAAAAGAAACCATCTGGCATTGACAAATAATGTTGGCTTAAATGTTGAAGTAATTGAGGCATCATTGGACCAACTGGTTTCTCGGTTAACTTTGGGAAGTTATAGTCAAACAAAAGGATCTTAGAATCAATGATATTCTTCAGTTTAGATGATTCATAATTAACCAAAAATTTGATTCTGTCTGAATTTCTCAACAAATTGGAAAATGTCAAAGAAATCTCTGGAATCTTGTTGAGAGCGAACAAAGGAGAAATAGGACTATTCAATGTATCTGGTTGCAAATATCTTTGTGATAAATATGCTTCAAATGGTGAATGTTTGTCATATTTTAGAGAATCTGACAGGGCTCTCAACAAATTAGTAAATGTTTTGTACTTTTGTAAGGACATCGGATGATCTCCTGTTTGTCCTAATATTGTTGAGATGTTCTGTATATTGGTATTGTAAATTTTAATGTTTGTTGAAACATTATCTGAAAAATTACGGAATGACAAATTTTTCTGTGAATTTTCAAATAAATCACTCCATCTAGCATCATTTATTAAGTCACCAATTCTTTTGAGAGATCCAATGCCTTCTCGAATCTTGAAGCTGCTTGTCATGATCATTTGTTCAACTGCTTTTTCAAGCTGCATGTTAACTGTGAAAACAGAAATTAAATCAAACCAAATTGTGTGTTCAACATTGTCAACATCACAATTTATCAATGAACAGTTTGTGAAATCAACATTAAGAGTTTTTGTGATCAAAAATATCTCAGGATTTTCACAACTCTTGAGGATTTGGTCTTGGAAAGTAAATCTTCCATTGCAATCGATTTGTAATTGCAAGTAATCAATGAAAACAAAGAAATCTGTTGATGATTTCCTGTCATCCAAAAATACAATCAAAGGAGAATTATCTGACATACATTTCGCATACATTTCACAACAATTTTCCAAAGAAGATGTGAAACAACTTTGTACTTTGTTGTGTGTAGAAATGATTGATTGAGTCATGATATCCAAAGGATCATAGTAGATCTTTCTTGGCGATGGATAGTTAGGCTTAGGATAATTGTTTTCATCAATAAAATTGTTTTTCGATGGAAAAATTCTCAAACAAAACAAAATGTCAAAAATTGCTGTTGTTGAAAAAGGAATCGATGTTTTGTATGAAAGAGAATTCTCAAGCATTTGTGTATCACATAAACTTGGAGTAAACAAATGGATATAAGAAATTATTGGATAGATAATCTCGAAGTCCAATGGTTGCTTGATTAATTCAAATGGATTTTGCAAACCATTTAAATTTAATTGTTCATAAATTTTCATTCTTTCTTCACGTTTTATTGCACCAAATCCATATTCAAAGGCAGTTATAACGAAACTATATTGTTTCAAGGAATGTTCAGTATCATTTAAGAATTCACCGAACTTAGAAATATCTTTCATTAATTGTTCAGTTGTTTCCAACATTTTATAGACTTCTGATGCATCATTGTTGTAAGCACTTAATAACCATGTTGGACAACTATCTTTGTTCTCTTTCATCTTCAATTTTTCATTTAGATCTTCATTTTCTTTCTTCAATTCATCAATTTGCTGCATTGTTGATTCTCTTTTTGCCTGGATTTCGCCGATTTCAAGACTTAAATCTCCAATTTCTGTATTCCATTTATAATAATTAACAATGATCTTTAACCATGTCAAGAAAACATTAATTAATGGAATAGATGATATCAATGATTCTGTTAATAGTTTTCTAAGTGGTGAATCAGGAGGAGCATCTTCGAATAATCCATATTTCTCAAGTTTAGAGAATAACAATGATTCATTTTGACTTTCCAAATCAAAATTCAAAATTGAAAGACACAAATTACAATTCTTACTATCTAGTTGAGATTCAATGAGATTTGCAAGTGTTGTATATCCAAATATATCTCTAAATATCAAGGCATAATTCTGGAATTCATCTTTCTTTGAAATCCAATTAGAAATCATTTGGATTTGTTCATCCATCGAATAAGAAGAAATTGCTGCTTTTGCTGTAGATATATCATTTGGAATTTGCACGTGTATCTTCGCCTGCAACAGCTGTAGTTGGTTAATCTTTGCTTTGAGTTCTTCGTTTCCTTTATGTACTCTTGTTTCTAAATCATCAATTTTTGCCAAAATTTTGTCAATTCTTGCAAATAATTCTTTTTCATTCGATTCTGTCATTGTAATACCATGATTTATATTATTAATCACTGGTCTTAAATTAGTGTAGATCTCAACAAAATCAATAATATTAGACAAACTCAAAGCGACATTTGAATATTGCTCTCTAAAATAATTGATTCGTTTTTTAACAATTTCTTCAAATTCATCTGAAGAAATTGATAAATAAGGAGCAAATAGAGCAGTTTCTTCGTAATGGAAATCTGTCTTTGGTATCAGTTCTTTGACATTGTATTTGCTTTCAACAATTACCATCTTGTCAAGGAATTCTTTTGGAATGTTTTCGATTTGATTTTGTTTACAAATCAAAAAGAAATTAATGAATTTAGACATTTCAGAAATTGCATTTTCTGATGGGAAATAATGCTGCAAAATCTTGATGTCAGTTTGACTAATAAAAGATGTCTGATCGAATATGTCATTTTGATAGAAAAAGAAGTCAAATAAATCATAAACTTCTTCGCAATCAACAATATTCAAATCCAAAATAAAAACTGTTTTTCTTTTTGTTTCCCCAATATTTACGAATTCTTTGAAGATCTGAGATCTGAATCTCTTCTCTAAAATGACAAAATTGACATTCTCGATTTTGGAAATAGGATAAACATCAAGTGAATTGTGGCCGACCAAAATTGCATTCAAATGATTTTCAACAATTATATTCAAAATTCCTGAATAAAACTTGAAAGGAATCCAGTCGAAATTATATCCCTTTGCTAAGATATATTTCTTAACAGTAGATGCTGGAATATCTGTAATGAAATCAAGTATTTCCATACCAAAGAAAAGAGAAGCCAATGATAAAAAGAGACAAACTTCATTAACATTTTTTGTTTTCTCTTGAAATTCAATTAATTTTTGTTCCATTTTGTGTTCTGTTGAATATTCAGTGATTTTGTTTAAAATGTCAACATTAATTGAATTTGAAAAAGTGACATTATTCTGAAAAGTGACATTTTGTGGTTGTAAAATTGGGAAATAAGATCTTCCGATATTTACGAAGTCAGATATCTGTGATGTTGTAATGATCAAGTGTATTTTTGTCATTCTAATGTATTTTCCATAACTTTTTGAATTAACACAATTAAAAACAAAAAGTGAAGTGACAAAATTTTGAATGAAATCTGAAGAATTTTGATAATCAGACAAACAAAGATAAGTTTCACCATCGAAACAAGGTCTATAGATGTTCTTTGTGATATTCTCGTATTTGATACACAAAGGAATATCAAGGAACTCATTAAACGAAGAAGAAAACAAAACAAAATCACTTTGTTTCGTATTTGAATTAATCAAATTTTTGAGAGTTTCTTTTCTCCAATTTTTATCGTCACCAACGATAACTATCGGTTTGAATTCTGACAAAGCTGTTTGTATTTCGAATTTTTGGTCAATTGGTTCTTTGTTGTGGAAAACAGTGTCAATTGCCTCCAAAATTGGCTTCTTTTTAACATTGATAACTGATCTTAAAATTGCCAATTTTGAAAGTGAAATATTTAATGGATCGAAATAAGTTTCAGCAGCATTTGATTGGAAAACAGTGATTAATGGCTCCAAAACTTTGATTTGTTCAACGAGATCTTGGTTCTGCAAAGCCATTTTAATGATATCAATCGGTTGTAAAACAGGAGATAACCATGCATTTGGTTTTTGATTTTGTTTATCAGCTTTAAACAAGCGAATGAAAATTGGTCGAACACCAACAATTTTCAGAACTGTCATGTCTTCATTGACATCAATTAATTCCATTGTTGCAATGTCAATTTTGTCTTTCAATGCTGATAAAATTGTCAAAATCAACAATTTTGTGTCAAAATTAATGATGTCAATTTTTGTGTTGTATTCTATTTGTGGGAAATAAGGAACTTGTGAATGATATTCGAATGAATCGTATCTATCAAATATTGTTGTCAGTTCATCAATTTTCTTGTTCAATGTTGTAGGAATGTGGAATGATGTCGCATTCTTAAAAGTGACAATTTTATTTGTCAAAATAAATTCAGAAATATCAAACCAACAGAAAAATTGAACTGTATTTGAATTTGTTTCTGAATTGTTGTTATTAAGTATTTGTTTGAAGTTATGGAGTTTGATTGTTTTCTCGAGGTAATCAAATCCGATATTCATTGGTATTTTGATATTTGGTCTTATTTTGCTGAGTTTTTGCATCAAATCATTTGGATTTATTTCATTGACGTAAATTGGTCGGAGTCTTTTTCTAATCCAAGAAGGAATTTCAGTTTGATTTATCGATATCAAAGAATTCCAATTATCGAAATCGATTTTAGTGAAATTATTTTCACATTTAAGGATTTGGTTTCTGTTCTCCAATATTCCATAAAAGCTTGGGAATGAGTTCGGAATTTGTTTCATATCAATGACATTTATGACACATTTCAATTTAAACAAAGCTGTCAAAATTTGGTTGTTGAGTTTCTCAACATTGTAATAAGGCAAGCCAGCGAAATCACTGAATGCTTTAACGAGGTATCTGTTACCTGTCATTTGTTTGATCATTGATATCTCAGGTTGTTTCATTGAACTTGCAATCGCAATGAAAAATTCTTCTTCTGAATTTGTCATTGGCCAAAAATCAGGTTCACTTATCATTTCGCAACCATATCTGAACGTGAATGTTCCACATTTGATATTAATGTATTCATCACCACGTTCGCTTGTTACGAAATGTGATGGATGCCTTTGCCATGAAAAGTTTTCGATGGAAAAATTATCATCTTTTTTGATTTCTTTCAAAATTTCAATTTGTCTGATTTTTAATGCAGCCAAAACAGACAATGACTGACATTTAGAAGGAGATGATTCGATATTACTACAAATATCTTGAAGCATCTTTTGATTTTTCTCAAATATTTCTTTCCATTCTCTTTTTTCCGAAGTTTTTGACAAAATAGAATTAATTTGTCTTGAAAAATAAATTGATTCAGCAATAACTAACGCTTGACTGTTATATCTCATGATCCACTGACTAGGAGTAGTGAAATCATGTGCAGGGAGTGCTTCAAAAATCGAAGCTTTCACAGCAATTTTCATTTCATATTCTGTTCTCTTTAAAATTTCGATTGGAGAAATATTTTCCACCATGAAATCGTTTCTAAACTGTAGCATCTCTCCACGCGTTGAGATTGCTCCCATAATAGTATTTCCATTGCATTGGAAACGACTCAAAGAAGGGAAAACAGGCAAAAAATCATCAACTAAACAATTAACATTTCCGCATGCCAAAATTATTCTTATAACTGATTCATCATTGCACAAAAACAACCTTGGATATTGGTTTCTCATTTGGTCAATGATATATCCCATTTTAGAAAGTAAATGACGACTTCTATTTTCAGCTTCTTTCAAGCATTTTAACAACAAATCTCCGTTCAATGTCAAATTGTTTTCTTTGCAAATTGGTTCATTAATTTTATTCGAAATCAATGGTTGCAAAGCAGATTGTTTCATGCTAATGATATCTTTGATTGTGTGTTTCCTTTTATTAGTTAAATCAGTTATAGGATTCTCAGGATCCAGTTTAGAAGTGAAACTGAGAATTGATGGATTATATTCAATTTGCTTTATGAAATTTCTGAAAAATTCATCAACAAAATGTTTCAAATTAAATTCATTGACATAATGCAATGAACAAAAAGTAGATGTCGTAGCAGCAGACAAAGATATATACTGTGTTTGGAAATCAATGATATAATCCAGTATTTTGATGATATCTTTGATTTTTATATCCCAATAAATTATCTGTTTTTCAATAGTTGTAAAGAAAGTTGAATTTTTCAGAGAATTCAAATAAACTAAGAAGTCTTCACAAGTATTTTGTGCTTCATAGATTGCAGGGAAAGAGATTACTTTTGTGTTCAATCTCTTCGAATCGAACAAAACAAACTTCAAGTTCTTCATGTTGAAGATATAACGATCGAAAGTTTGATTTAAATCTGCTTTTTCTAACTGATTCATTATGAAAATATTCAAGTCATCAATATAATTCAATAACATTGGATTCAAGAATTTCCGCAATGTCAATGTATTATCATTCTTAGTAAACAATATTTTGAAGGCCATTTCCCATTGGTTTTGATCAAAAATTAATTTAGAAAATGACTTAAAAAGTGACAAATATTGATATAAAAAACTGAAACTATTTGCCATTTTATCGAACAAAGGATGTTTCTTTGATCTTAGTTCTCTTTCACTATTATTATTCAAGAATTGTATCAATCCTCTGTAATTTATTTCTTTTACAGGAGAATCATAATAAACATTGATATTTTGCATGAATTCTGAGTAAGTTTTCCATTGTTCCAATTCATTTGATAACTTATCTCTTATAGTTTTGATTTCACTGAAATCATATTCATTGTAATTCAGCTTGTTCGCTAAAACAACAAATAAATTGACATCTTCTTGTAAATTGTCAGTTTTTTCAATAACTTTTTTCAAATCATTCATAGCAGTTTCAGCGGAAATATTGGATTCGAATGATCCGAACTGTGTTCTCATTTGTCTATCAAGTTGTTCTAATCTTTCTTCAAGCACTTTTTGTCTTTGGCCGATCATTTCTTTTGATTTTAGAGAATTTTCTCTCATTTGATTTTCGCCTGTTTCGAAAGCTCTTTCCAATCTTTCGTTTGCTGTTTTAACGGACTTCAAATGTATAATGAGAACAGGAATAAGCATTGATGCATGTGTCAATGCTCTGTTGTAAATTGAATTTATTATGTAAAATGTTTTTTGAAATTGAGGAATTTTTGATTTCGCAATTGTCATGTTTTGCGCGAAAGCAGCTGCTCCTTCAAGAGTATCATTAGATAATGTCATTGTTTCCATTATAGTATAGACATCTCTTACAAAACTAGTACAAATGTTTTCAAATTCAGTAAATAAAATTTTGTTGTTTTCTTCAATTGTTTTTTCAACAAAATTCAATATAAAAGTTCTTAAATTACGACAATCAACTCTTAACAAGTCGAATTCATAGATATTCTTGAATCCTTGAACTTTGGATTGTATTTCCGTCAATTTCGAAAGATTCGTAATAAAAATTGTTGGATCGGAAGTGTCGTTTTTCATTTTCGGCCACTTATATCTGAACTGCGCTATTGTAACAGCTGAAGGACGGTAACAATTGTATGTTTCATTGGCTTTTTTGAAAGATAATTTCATTACATTCATAATTCCTTCTAAATCTTTGGAGAACTTGGCATCAGATTGTATTATATCGGCTATTGTTCTCGATTTATCTGATAATTCTTTGAGTTTCTCGGATCCACTCTGATCAATTCGAATTGGTCGGATAAAAGTCATTAGATTATCAAGCAGATTGTTGATATGGTCATTAACGAGTGCTTGTGCTTCTTCTAGTGATGGTTTGAATACAATATCATGATCATTGTAGTCTAATATTATATTTAATTTCATTTGATGGGAGGATTCAATGAAAATGTTGGAGAAATAATGGAACTGGTCTTGAAACATCTGAAGGAAGAAAGATGTGATCATTTTGTCAAGGAACTTAAAAAAATTCGGAATTTGGGAAATTTCTAATTGATAATAAGCAAGTAACTGTTTGTATTTAGCCTTTAGTTCCCTTTCTTCACGTATTCCGAGGCTCTTTTTGTTAGGAACTTTGTTTATGTAATACAAATCAGATGGAATTTTGTCATCGTTCAGAAAACTCGCTGTTTCTTGGGTCACGAGTTCTTTATATTCTTTGTTTAGTCTTTTTGCGAATTCAAGAAGTGCAAAAAGCATTTTGTCAGAAATTTCATTTGATTTTTGAGAAAAATTCAAAAATATCTCCTTAAAAGTTTGTATTTGGTCATCATATCCTACATTTCCATCATCTCTTATAGGAAATACTTGGTAATTTTTTAATGAAAACAATTCTTTTCGAAATTCCGAAATTACAACAGGAAAAACAGGTTTTGTTGAGTAGCATATTTCATTAAACTTTGCAAGCTTTGATTTAAATGATCTTTTGAAGTACATCAGCTTCCATTTCATAAATAATTTATTAACTTTGAAAGAAGTAAAGAATTGAAGCTGATGGACCATTTCGTAATCTGTTTTACTTTCAATGAATTCATCTATTGGTACAAATTCTGATTCACCTCCATTTCTGGCTGAAAAAACTCCTCTTTTTGTAATTGTCTCAAATTCGTGTTCGTTTGGGAGTTGACTGTAAATTGACATTTGGTATCTGTTCACATTGCTTTGTGCTTTTCCGAAATGGAATTGGATGTCATCTTGATCAGGATCTGTTGATGCAACGTAAGCAAGGGCATCTGTTTCATTATGAATGTCATTTCCTAGGTTCCATGCAGATGTTTTCTTTCGTATTGTATCAAATTGCTCTCTATCTATTCTAGTTCGCTTTCTATGATTAAATTTTTCATAATCGAATTTAGATATGGATCCATTTGTAGATGAATTATCACTTTTACTTGAATTTGATCTGCTTGATCGCCTATTGAAGTCTGTTGGTATCTTACAATTTCGAGGAATTTTATCTGTTGGAAATTCTAAGCTCTTTCGTATTGTTTTTCTTACAGAATCTCGCGAAGACATAGTTGGTTCTTGTATTTTTAATAGTTTTACTGGTTGATCTCCTAGATTTTGCATCTGATATTTATATTTTAATGATGGAAAGATAGAAAGAACCATATTCTTACCAATATGCTTCTCAAAGTCTTCCATAGCCATGATTTTCTGTAATAATTCAAAAGATTTCGGCGTTAAATCGTAAATTGCTTTTTTATTACATAAATCAATGAAAACAAAGCGAAGTTTTGTCCATAAAGTGTTGGTATAGGCATGATCTTTTTCCATCCCTGTTATAAACTCTGTCATTGCATCAACGAGCTTAGAAAGGGGAGGAAAAGACATCCCGCCTGTAACTAGGATTGAAATTGCTTACACTTTTCAAGATTAACCAAGAAAATATATGTGTTTAAATGTAGATACTTGTGTTTATCTTAGGTTTTCAAATTTCTGAGGTGGGTCAACGATAGAATAAGGTTAAAAAATCAGCCCGAGGATAATTTTCTCAATCACATGGAGCAATATGATCAAGATAAATAAATAAAACAATCACATTTTTATTAGATACAACTTAATAATAAAATCCTGCTATGAGACAATAAGATGAAATTAACTCAATAAGACGGAATTTCCAGAAAAAACGAAAAATTATAAAAAGGTAGGTTTATCGAGCAGAATTCATTTATTTCAAAAATGATTAGTAATACCAATGCCAAATGATAGGGTTAAGTTAGAATGTAAATTTCTAACTAATTTTCTATCCGATTTCTAAATTGTTACTTCTGCCTTTAGCGAATACTTGTATTATGTTAAATGTTATATAGTAGATTAGGATTCTCACGTTTGTTTGTCAGATAATATTTCTATTTGTTGAAAAAAGAGTTAGCATGAGATGACCATGGTTGAACTGAAATTACATGTCGAATTTGTATACAATGGTGAAAAACCATATGAATCCGATTAATATATTGAAAGAATACACTATATTAGTAAATAGGTAAGATATTTATTGAAAGAAATGAATTTATATAGAAAACACTAATATGGTTAAAGCATTATTTTGTAAATATAAGAAAAACGGTGTGAAAAAAGTACGTTAATAAACGAAAAAGAAATATAAATTATAAGATGATGCAGAAATTATATAATTTTGTGAGTATGTTTGAGAGATAATTAAACAGCAAGAATGGAAGAATGATAGATTGATATGAATTCAGATTCTAATAGCAAATCTTCGACCGACAAGAGTGAATAGTACACTCTTGTTGGTCTTTCAGTTCCATTCCGGGGACATTGCCTATGCAAGTACCTCGGAATGGAACACTGCTCCGCAATCACATTCTGATTCCGGAACTTCGACCGACAAGAATGAATAATACACTATAGTTGTTTTATTCTTTAATTCAAATTTTAAATGTCAATATAAAAAACCCAATCTATTTATTTATTAAACATTTAATTTAATTTTAATAACTTTTTCTATATTTTAATTATTCGAACATACATCATTAGATCTGTATATTACAAAATTACCCAAAATCCTGCAGTTACTTTTTCGAAATACACAATACACGTTTTTTTTAAAGGATTGGGATATGTTTTACATTTGTAAACTCATTTAGTAAACTTGTAGTTTGATTTATTGCATCGAGAAAAAAGAAGTTCGAATTTTACCAACTGAGTTTACAAATGTAAAGGATTGGGATATGCTTTACATTTGTAAACTCATTTAGTAAACTTGTAGTTTGATTTATTGCATCGAGAAAAAAGAAGTTCGAATTTTACCAACTGAGTTTACAAAACGATTACCTTCCTCAGTACAAAATACCCTAACTTGAAATACTAGCAAAAATAGAGCGTTTGGCTGAATGAAGTGTAGGTTTAACAAAAATGGCTTCCAATTAACGTAAAAAATATTCTTATGAAAAAATCGAAAATGTCATTTTTTTATTTTCGTTGTAAAATTAAATAGAAGCTTTGATTTATTAAATATAAAAATTTCGAATTACGATAATTTTTATTGAAATTTAAATTAAATTCAATGAGTCATCTGAATTTTTTTCACAAACTAGCAAACAGTATCAGATTCTAATTTATTTCTCAAAAAAAAACCAACTACATGTGATATAGATATATAGAACATAACACTATTCAAGTTAATTACTATTTATTTGCACTTTTGCTAAATTATTTGAAATTAATAAAGCAATTTATGCTTTATGTTTTATAATATATATTATCTTCGCTAGTATTGATATAATGTATCATCTATTTGGTATAATATTGCAAATTCAATATAATGCTTCAATTATTGTGTTTAAGTAGCAAAATACAGCTATTCAATTAAACTATAATCATTAACATTCTATTTATATTTAACTGATATAATCAACATATGAATACCGTAATTTGGAAAAGATAGAAATATCAAATCATTGGCAATATACGATAACATATATTTTTATCTCATTATATCATTGTTAAAAATTATTTTCTATCATTCACTGAATGTATACATGATTAGCTTCTATATTTAGCAAAATGATATCTTAAATTTACTAACATACATAATCTAACTAAATATATTTTTTACACATTCATTAATAAACTTCATGATATATCTCATTCATTACCAATCGTTTTAGATAATGAGATACGTACATGAAATAATCGTCACACGGAAATATTTTAAAATGCGCAAATTCAATTCAAAATAATCGTTTTTGCGCATTTTTTGCACCTACAGGATAACCCAAGCTTTTGACTCGGATTTATAGTTTTTAAATTCTAAATTACCTCTTCCAAATATTTTTGAATGAGAAATATTTGAATTTGTAAAATTAATTTGTCCTTTTTCAAGGTAAATGCTATCCACTCTGTAATAACTTTCATCTCCGTTTTTGCTAATTGAAGAGTGAATTATTGCATTCTTGAAAGAATTTTGATCAGAAATTTCAGAATAACAATAAACACCAATGGCTTCTATTGTTGTTATCTTTGACAGTAAACTTGTTATCTGATTTTGGACGCATTCACCTGCATATGAAAAAAATAAACTTCCACCTTGTCCAGAACTACTACAATTTACAAAGTTTGTCATTTCAACTAATAATTTAGTTGAAGATTGAGAAGTGCTAAAATATATAGCACATGAGTTTATATTCTCATCAAAAAACACAGTCGCTTACATAATAATTCTTATTTTCAGAAGAAAGTCTTTCTTTCTTCTTGTTATATGCTTCTTTTGAAAGTACTTCTGAAAAGAATTCATTCCAACTAAATTGATAGGAAGATAAAATTCTTCCATACACAAAAAGTGACACTAATCAATCATTTTTTGTGCATTTTTGACATATGCATTGTAGAATAAAATGAAATAAGCTTGACGAATAATTTTTGATAGAAAAAATAAAGTTTATAATAGAATGAAAACAAAAAGATATGAATATGAAAATGAATGAAGACATTTAATATCGTTAATTCTGGATGGAGTTTTTTCATCAGGAAATTCAGTCATAACAGTGACAAAATGATTACAAAATGTTTCATTCTGGAAATTAGGTAAAACATAAATATTCGAGATCGATGAAGTATTTAAATCAGATTTACAATTTACTCCTGACCCGCCATAAAAAACAGTTTTAAGTTTGATAACATGATCAAAAATATATTGATTGATAATGTTAACACCAGAAGGTATAGTTATTTTAGTTATTGTTGTATTTACGGCAAAACTATTATCAATTTTAGTCAATGCAGATTCTCGATCAAATTCGATCTTTTTGAGATATGAACACCAATCAACAGATCTATATTGAATTTCTTCAACAAATTTACCAACTCTTAATGATGTAATCATAGAGAATCTGAATGCACAAACACCAATCCTTTTCACAAAATAATATGAATTGTTATAAAAGATTGTTGGAGGAATTACAATATCATAACTAGTAAATGCAGTGTTATTAAATGCGTTCTTATTGGCAGAATTATCATTAACTTTCGTATTATTAATTCTTCCGAAAACAGCTTCATGATTTTCATCATTTAACAGATAATTAAAGATTCCGAATTTAATTTGCGTCATTTTAGGACAAAGTTATTTAAATATGAGTTGGTTTAAAATAAGAAGTGCTTTAATTAGAAAAACATAAAAAGATCGTATTTTACAATTTTAAAAGTGCTGTTTTCACACATATTTCCTATCCTAGGCTCGAATTTTATTCTTCTCTTAATTACAAATGAACTCAATAATGTTGTCGTTGTACATAAATCATAATATCCGCTATTTTATTTTGTCACTTTTTAAAAATGATTGATTTAATTTCAAAGTTATTAATGCCAATAATCGACAATACTAAATAAACGATTTAAAATTGGAAAGCGTGAGTATACTTACTTCGATAATATAGTCATCGCAGTTGAATAGCAATTCAATTTTTTGAGAGAAAAAACGTGCATGAAATGCGATATGATTTAATTATATTGATAATTCAAAATAAACATTTTGAATATTGAATAAATGTAAACATCTAATTTTGTTAGTCCTGTCTTTCTCATGGATTTATAACAGTATGCATCATGGGTTGCTTGGTTTTATTAAAAATTTGCAATTTGGGTCACATTTTTAATCATTAATATTTTGAAACTCAAAATCAAGACATTTTAATGAATTTTGATATATTACAGTTAGTTACTGCATCAATTCTGATGAAACAATGCAATTTCAATTTTCTGAACAAAAAATGCTCGTTTATTATTTTCGTGGTATGATGGATAAATGAATTAACAAGCCGAAAAGCAAACCCAAACTAGCAGAAAATGGATGCTTTTCCATTTGCGTTAAAAGGTCAAGTAGAATTTCTTAATTCGCCATCAAATTCAAATCATTTCCTGCTGGATGTTTCCATTATTTGTATGGTCACATTGTTTTGGGACTACAAATCTGAATCTCTAGTAACAAAGCTCAAAATTCTTCCAAATCAAAATTTTATTTTGGATTTTTTTCCAAATTACAAAATTTCATTTCGAAAAGAGGATACTACATGGAAGCTAGTATGTATTCCTTAATTTCGACCCAAAATCAATTGGATTTAATTAATTAATAATTAATAATTAATTCCAAAAAAACTATTTATTATTATTCTTTGTCTTGTATATAGATAGTAAAAATCTTCAACTTAAAACTTTTCTTAATCTCATAGAAAAAAAAGCCCTCAAATTAAGCGTCCAGAGCCTTGCCCTCTCAATCAAAATTAGAGTAGTGAGGTTTACAAATCCCAATTCAATACACAGAGGTTTACATTTTATATTGAGGGGCCCTCACTACTGAGATTTTGGGAGCACTATAATATATTTTTAAAAGTTTTTGAACATAAAAATTCACCAGATGTCTACTTTGCTAATAGTTCCGAAGTTTTAAATGTTGATACAGAAAACAAATATTCTATCCTTAATGAACTTTCAGATAATGAACGAGATTCAGACTCTAAATTCACTTTTCTTCTCAACTACTGGCAACAAACAAAAAATTCTATAAACGAAGTTGATACTTATTCTGGCACCTTTTCCCCATACAACGTCACTGGATATAATCCACTATATATTGGAGCTGATCGCCATGAAACAGAATGTTATTGGGGTGGATTATTAGTTTCAAATCAGTATAGATATACATATATAGAAGGTTGTCCCGGGGGAAATTATTGGTTTTATTCTATAGGAAGGTATTACAAAATTGTTGATGGTTGGACAACTTATAAAATTCCCTCTAATAATAATAAGAATTAAACTATAAAAGTTTATAGTAAAAATGAAATGAAAATATTTTATTTCGTTATTACATGATGCAATTTTTTCTTTAGGGAAATCAGAGATCACAGTTACAGGATAATTACAGAACCTATTGCCTTCAAAATTTGGCAAAACAAATATTTTCAAATTTGTAAACGAACTTAGGTCAGAATTGCATATAATATTGTTGCCACCAAAAATAAGTGTTCTGATAACAGTATTATGGGTGAACAAAGCTTTACCTATTTGTAAGACTGTGAATGGAATGCGAATCTTTTCAACTTTAGAACCAACAAGGAAACTATCGTTGATAGTATTGATGGCACACTCTGGATCAAATTCGATTTTCTTTAATGATTGGCAGAAATCAAGAGCCCTATATTGAATTTCTTCAACAAATTTACCTAAATATAATGAACGAATTTCTAAATTTCGAAATGAACATGTTCCGAGTCGCTTAACAAAGTAATATACTCGGTTGTAATATATAGCTGCTGGAATAACAACATCATAATTAGTATCATTTGGATCAATGAAAGCATTTTTATTATAAGAATCATTTTCAATTGCAGTTTTGTTAATGTACCCAATAATTTTCTATTTCAATTTCAAATTTTGTCATTTAGATGAAATAAGTTCATTATAATTTTTTATAAATAAGATAAAAAGTGACATTAAGGTCAGATTTAAACTTTTTTTTAATTTGTTTTTAACTCATCATTTACTGTTTATACTCAATGAAATAATATTTTTGGGCATTTTTTGCACCCTATGTAAAACCCAATGAAAGTGTAAATTTAATTGAAATGTTTTAGAATCAATTATAAAAGTATAAACACAAAAGTATACGAATATGAAAAATGCTGAAAACATCTAATATCATTTTTACAAGATTTTATTTTATCTTTGGGGAAGTCAGAGACAACAATAACAGGGTGAGCGCAAAATGTCTGATTTCTATAATTTAGCAAAACAAAAATACTCAATTTTGTAATATATGAGATGTTCATTGCACAATTAACACTAAATCCTCCATAATAAATGGAATTAATAACTTTATTGTAAGTGAGAAAATCATAATCAATTGAAATTATTGATGAAGGCAACTGGAGTCTTACAACTCGAGAATCAACAATGAAACTATTACTTATCAGCGATATAGAAGAATCTCGATCAAATTCAAATTTTCTTAAATTTGAGCACCAATCAAATGCTCTGTATTGAATTTCTTTAACAAATTTTCCAATATAAACCGAAGTTATTAAGGAGCGTCTAAATGAGCATACACCAATCTGTTTGACGAAGTAATATTTATCATCATAGTAAATTGTTGACGGAACAATAATATCGTATTTCGTGTTACTTTTGTCAATAAAGGCATTGCAGTTAATTGATTCATCAGTTATAGACGTCCCATTTACTGTTCCGAGTAAAGCTTCATTTGTTGCGTTATCAATTAAAAAATTAAAAAGACCAACCCCAACTTGAACCATTTAATGAGAACTTGCTATATCAATGAGCCCTCTTTAGATATGATTTCTTAAGCACCATAAAATCATTTAAAATAATGAACTTTAAAAAATGGTTGAATAATTTTAATCTTATTCTTTTAAGGTTAAGGGATCCCTTGCTTTTTATACAACTATTCAATTTTTAACATTTGGTTTAAAAATGGTATAAAAACAAAAATTGGTGACCAATATTATGAAATATATAATCAATGATATAATTTTATCTTATGGTCATTTTTTTTTTCAAAAAAAAAAATATTCCTCAAATTCAGCTGTCCAAGTAAAACAGCTTTTTTATTTCTCACAAGTTTTATCGATCGATTACAACAAGAGCATTGTGATGTTTTCTGTACAGAACTCAGTCCAACTTTACTTCAACTTGAATCCTTACACAAAAAGTAATATCAAGCTGAAGAATATTAAAAAGTATCATTTTTTATGTCATATTTTATAGAAACCACAATTATATTTACTAAAAATATAAAATTTATATAAACAGGAAGATAAACAAGTTGGAAAATAGAGCATTATTGCTTTTAACATCCGTGACACAGGATATTTTTACTGGTTTTGGAAATTCAGGAATTGAAATTACACTATGATTACAAAACTTTAAATCTTTATATTGAGGCAAAACATATATATTAAAAGTTGACAAGCTTAAATCTGTCAAACATTGGACACTTTTACCTCCATAAAAAACGTTTTTCAGTGATTTTGAATTTGTGAATAGAAATTCTCCAATAAAATTTACATTTGGAGGAATATATACTTGTGTGACTGTAGTGTTTACAACAAAACTTGAAACAATTGTAACCAAAGAAGAATCGGTATCAAATTTGATTTTTTTGAGATTTGCACACCAATCAATACCTCGATATTGAATTTCTTCAACAAGTCTACCTATTCTAATAGATATTATTGACGAATTTCTGAATGCACAAGAACCAATTCTTTTGACAGGAAGTATTTGTCATTATTAAAAATTGATGTTGGAATATTAACATGATAGCTTGTAAAACTCCTGTTAATGAAAGCATTCTTATCAGCTGAATTATCTTATTCTTATCTATTAAATAATAATAAACTCCATACTTGAATAGGGTCATTCACTATAATATTATGGTAATACTGATTGAATCAGTTTGGAAAAGTTAAAAATTACTTGATTAGTTCAGATGAAATCTGCTTTTTTATTTTATAATAACCTTATATGTAAAGTTTTACAATGATTATAAGATATGGTTCTCCATAAGTGATGAACTATAACATATCAAACATTTAAATTTCTCACCATGAAAGATAAATAGCTATGTACCATTTTATTTATCAAATTCTTAATTTGATTCAAAAATGTCAAAAAAATAGGACAAAATGAAGAAGATATCATATGTTAATACTAGATTTATTCCAAATGAAGATATTTATATTGATAAATCAGTTTTTATTAAATTATCAACTTCGGAAAATGGCGGTGCTATATATTGTAATCAAGAGTATCGAAAGAAATTATGCAACTGCTTATTTTCCATGTGTTCTTCCCAAATTAGAGGCGGTGCAGTCCTTTTCTCCAATGGTTATTCAGAAATAAAAAATATTTGTTTGACAAAAAATTCCGGTGTCATGTGTGCAGATATAATGTCATGGATTGAGAAAAAATTTGACTATTCTTTTATCTCCTCTTTTGAAGCCAAATCCACAGAACATGGTTTTTGGGCTGGTGCAACAGAATATTTTTATATGAGTAATATGAATTCAACTTATACTTCTAGAGGAAATACTCCTTATGCTCAAGGAACTTTTGTAAATTATCAAGTTCCAGTAAATAATATGATGAGGTATCTCCAAAATAGTAATTCATCTGGTACTCATGGAATATTCACTTGTGAAGGATCAATACCAGGAAATGCATCTTATGTAAATTTATTATATGACAAAACAACTCCAGCGATATTTAGTGCTTTTCGAGGTACATCACTCCTTGATGGATATCATCATTTCTTTGTTTTTGGTAATCGAAAAGATGCAGTTGGATTTGCAAACCATGAGAATAGTGCATCTAATTTATTTATTAGAGATAGTTACTTCGATTTACCAAAATCTAAGTTTCAATTGACAACATTCTCAAATTGCATATTTGATGTCACAAAAGAAAATGAACTTTTTCCACTTGAAGGGAAAATTATATGCGAAGAAATGATGATGACAACTTTATGTTTTTCGAAAGCTATAGAATATTATTCTAAGTTTTCATTTATGCAAACTTTTATTATTTTGTTTGAATAAATATTTATTTTAAAGAAATATGAAAATATATAAGTTCGCCATTGGAAAGTTGCTAAATGGAAAACATTTAATATAATTTACAGAACAAATGCAAAAATGATAAAATGAATCCATTGAAAATTCAAATGTATTCACTCGAGCAAATAACCTAACTCTATTTACAACTATCCCATTAGCAGGAATACCATTTTCTTTATAATGAGTGTGTTTGTATGTCAAACCAATAGTAAACCACCAATTATCATACGAACCTGGTTGTCCTTCAAGCAACCCATATTCTAATGACTCATAAACAAGGCCACCAAATTGTAAAGATGAATGGTTATCTAAAGTATAAATTGCATTAATTTCTTCGGGACCAAAATCAACACATGTATTAAATTTAAGTCGGTCACGATCATAATATGGATTTAGAGATTGATTCCAGCTGTTATATACATGAAGCTCAGGATATTCAATAATAAAGTGGTATTTCCCTCCTGATGATGTAAATTTGCTCTCATTCAAACGATATAATATAGAATACTTTCCGGGGACACTAATATTTAAGGCTTCAGACTGACTTTCAAAACAACGGGAAGTTGTGAAATTATGTTCGAAAACGCGAACATAATAATATCCATGATACTTCGCTGTTACAAATCCATCAAATTCACGTATTAATATTGGCATGCATTAATTTAAATAATTTTATGATAAAACAATTAAAAAATGACACTTTTTTCCCTTTATTCCAAAAATTTTGTCACATGTTTTATTCAGAGTTGCGATTGGTAGATACAAGAAATTGCATGAACAGAAAGAGCAATATGGAGAAATTAATTGTCTAACATTAATTATAAAATGTCAATGATATTTCAAATAAAACTTAATAACTTAATGGTTTAAATTAAGTAACTATTAATGAAAAAGTTATCATATGTGAATACTCGATTGATGCCATTTGAAGACATCTATATTGATAAATCGAATTTTATTAATTTATCAACTTCAGAAAATGGCGGTGCAATATTTTGCGATTAGAGCTACCATAAGAAGCTAAGCAATTGCTTATTTTCTATGTGTACATGCGCTGTTCATGGTGGTGCCATTCTTTTTCAAAACGGTTATTCAGAAATAAAAAACATATGTTTGTCAAAGAATTCAGGAGGTATGTGTGCAGATATAATGTCTTGGGTTGAAAACAGTTTTGAGTATTCGTTCATATCTTCATTTGAAGCTGTTTCGAAAAATCACGGTCTTTGGGTAGGTGCATTCAATTTTTTATCGATAAAAAATTTAAACTCTTCATTTGAAGAAAGCAATTCTGAACTGGGAACTTTTGTGAATTATAAAGTACCTGCAAATAATATTATTAAGTTTCTTCAAAATAGTAATTCATCGGGTACTCATGGAATATTCACCTGCGAGGGATCGATTCCAGGAAATGCTTCATATATCAATTTGTTGTATGATAGCACATCTAATGCAATTTTTGGTGTATTTAAAGGAATTCCTGTAATTCAAAATTATCATCATTTTTTTGTATTTGGAAACAGAAATGATGCAGCGGGTTTTGCCATTTATCAGAATGGTGAATCACAGCTATTAATAAGTGATAGCTATTTCGATATGCCAGATTTGGCCTTCCAATTTACGACATTCTCTGAATGCATTTTTTCTATAACTAATTTGAAAGATATAATACAACTTGAAGAAAAAATTATTTGCGAAGAGTTATTAATGCAAACGGTCTGCTCTTCAAAAATATTTCCTGATTTTAATTTAAACAAAAGTTGCATACTATTACTTAATATTATATTCACCCATATAACACATCAGATACATCTCAGAAATTTGAATTAAATTCAATCTCCAGTTCTTAATTATAATTAATTAAATCAATTTATTCAATATGATGAACGTTCACAGAAATGATGATAAATTAGTTAAATTCTAGTGTAACAAAATTGTTAATGAATTTAAGCAAAATGCTTGTTTGTATATAATTATATTGTTGACATGAACAGTTATGATATAATGACGTTATTCTGGCGGCACCATCTCCAATATGTCCTTCTTCAGGAACATTTAATGGACTGAGAAATGTTGTATTCCCATTATACATTATACCATAATAAAATATAATTCCTGAATAATGATTAGGACTATTTGTATGCTTGCCATTTTCATCAATAGAATTACATCCTTCATATCCACTAATATAACTCGAGCCACTGGATGAAACGGCTAGATATTGAGTGTTTAAATTTTCTGTTACTTTTCCTGTTTTTCCTCCATAGTATCCACCACCTGCACCAGATGTGGGAACCCAATCATGATTAACTCCATTTTGGCCAATCCCAAGTGAATATCCGTCGGTTTGTGAAGTGTCAGATTTTACAAAATTTTTAGAAAAGTACGCTTGAACTTTATAACCAGTCAGATCTCCACCAGGAGCTCCATAACTTTTATATATTGATCCAGATCCACCTGCAGCAACCATGATTCTGCTGTAAAGAGATTGTTTAGAGGAATTATTAATTAATCTAATGTCAGTGGCACCACCACCACCAGAAGGATCATCATCATTATCAAATCCTGAATTTCCTCCACCATTAAATCCACCAATTCCATTATATTCTTTTGAACATTTTACCGGATCTTTCCCTTTGCCTCCTAGATATAAGAAAAATGTTTTGGGCTGAAGAAGTTTTACTTTTCCTTGCACATATGAACCCCGACCTCCGTAAAAGTCAGATTTTGTTTCATTATCTGTACAACCTTGACCGCCTTGAGCTCCCCAGAGCTCAAACAAATAGGAACCAGCTCTTAAATGAACTTCATAGATGGGTTTTTGATCACTATATTGATATAAACCCAATTCAAAACTTTTTCTTTTTCAAGAATAACTCAGCTTTTATTGATATTTATAGCTTAATGGAAAGGTAATTACACCAATGTTGAAATTGTAGGGTTTGAATCAGAGTTGTGAAAATTATAATTCAAATCACACTTGATTCATAAATAGAAGTAAACAGATAAAGAATTGTTATGATATTAGTTTTTGTAATAGAAAAAAGATTGAAAAGCTGAAGAAATCTTAGAAGGCATTCGAGTTGAGGTGACCCAAAGAATAGACTTAGGGAGCTTATATTAAGAAAATAATACTACCTTATGAATCTGATGCTAATAGCATTCAATTCAGCAAAATTTTGCGTGAATGAAACTCCAATTATTACAATTTGTTTTGTCCTCATATAAAATTAGCTCATACGTTATGATAGAAGATATATGATAGATAGGTAATAAATTCACATTAGTTTTATTTGTTCCCTGTGATTACTTTTTTAATATTACATCACATTTACAAAAAGAAAGTAAAATTGAAAGTTTATCCTATTTCATACTAATTGTCAAAACTATCAACATTAGAATTTTCCTTAAACTAATCTCGTAATACGCAATATAAAGATTCACAATTTAGTATTAAACAAATACTCACGCCAATTCTAAAAACATGAACTTAAATCGTAAAATACAAGCATACATCCAAAATATACTCCTCAAAGTGAAAAATAAAAAATTCATTTTGTAAAAAAATTAGCAAAATTCTTTAATTCTATATTCAATGGAAGTGTATTGTTCTGTAAAGTGTATTGTCATATTATTTTTGATTGTTTAAGTAAAAATAATATCGATAAGATATTATCAACGTATGAAAGAACGTAATTACAAAACTGTATGTTGCATATAAATATTTGTGTAATTTTTTGAATTTTCTTATGGAGATTTGTTATTTGAGTAATTGTTGATCAAGTTCTAAGTTGTTATTCCATTAGAGTTTGGCACTTTTTCTCAAATAACGTATATTCGTTATTTTTTTTAATTTGATGATTTAATAACTAAACAATAATCTGTATAAGAGAAGAATGTTATTTAATATCATTTAAAATCATAAATCATAAAGGATATGTGAATATTTTTATTTTGCAGGTTTGATTAGAAATCATCCTACAGCCACACATACACTATACCCAAATCCATATAACAAATCATCTCAAAGAAATTATTCAAATAGAATTTAATCTGGTGTGCAATATGCTTCTCCAAATGAGTCATATTATAGTATTTTGCTTGTGAGTTGGTGGTGACATATAATAAATATCATTAATAAAGTAGGACCTTATCTTTAAATAATTATAATGCGAGAATAGGAAAAATTATTATTTCTTATTTATGTAAAAATCCATTTAATCTGGTAAATTGATAAAATCTATAATAATATTAACAGTTCTACCGATATTATAATGCTCGAAACACATTATTTAAGTCTAAAAATTGAAAACAAAGAAATTTTTATATTTTTTAGCTATATCATGGTCGTGTCAAATAACGAACAATTTCTCAGAAATATAGATCCGTATTTTTCCCAAGTGAGGGGGGTATCTCCAATCCCAGCCCTATCGTCCTCCCAGTGTCAGTTTTCAATATAAAATCCAAATTTTTTTTGAAAATAAAAATTTCGAGAAATTTTTCTGATTTTTTTTCTTTGATTTCAATAATTCAAAATAAATTTGGGAGTAAAAAGACACTATTTAATGAAATTCATATGAGTGAATGTGGATAAATACTCTCAAAACATACAATTTATCTATTTTTTCTTTATATTATCAACTAATTAGTGATAATTTTTTTTGAATCAGATTTTTTTTCATTAAAAACATAATATATAACACAACAATGATGCACACATACGTATCTACACATCAAAATATAAAGCTTGTTTTGGTCTGGGCATCCCAACCCAAAATTCTTTAAAAATTGAATAAAATTGAATACTTGGGGCTGGGATACCCATCCCAAAACCGAATTGAATTTTTTGAATTAAAGAATATATTTATGTATTTATAATATACATGTGATGTCTATAAAAAATACTAAATTCTAAAAAAAATTCAATTTATTCAAAACGTATACTAAGTGATCACTTCATTAGTAGGATCAGCAATCCTACTAAATGGTGAGAACGCCACTAACTAAAAAGGGAGTCATTGGAGCTCTTGATCTCTTGTCAGTAGAGTTCATAATGAGGCATGGCATCTACTGATTAGAGATCAGAGCAATCCTACCTTACATTCAGGAGCTACAAAGCTCCTAATCGTTACGAGAGGGAGCCTTGGAGCTCCTGAAGCTCATCAGCAGAGGCTATTTACCATTTGGGCCTCTTCTGATGAAAGATGCGAAACACGTCTACGAACCAGGAGCTTCAAAGCTCCTAATCCTTACGAAAGGGAGCTTTGGAGCTCCTGAAACTCCTTTTACTATAAAATAGGACAGTTTTCTTCTGAGGTTCTCATCAAATCTAAGACTTCAGAAGAAAGCTGTCCTATCAATGTATACTTACACTCTCATGGACTACAAGTGTACAATTTTAAGGCAGAGATTATCCGAGGCCTCTCATCAAATGAGGGACCTCGGATAATCTCTACCTTAAGTAGTCAAATAACTTTTCTCACTATTTAGGAACAAAAGAACAAGAGTTGGAGTACTTTAAGGCAAGATTCTTCCGAAATCTCTCATCGAATGAGAGACTTCGGAAGGACCTTGCCAAATCCTTGAACGCCAATATCCTTGGAACTGAGCTAGAACCAGGGAGAAGTAGCATACTATAGAGCACGATGGTAATCTCGGAAATGCTTATATCGCCCCAAGCACAATATTTAAGAAGTCTAACTCATATATACAAGAAGTCAGGCTGAATAGATATTGTGCATATGGTTTGCAGAACTCTCATGATATTTAAAATTCATGTTATCCCAAAAAAGGTGACACTTTGGGTGTATCGTCCATCCCAGGGATGCAAAAATCACATCACCTTGGATCTATACTCAGAAATAAAAAAGGCTCAATTTTGGTATATGCATTTATTATAATGAATCTAGTAATATTTTTCGAGGGTGTCAGATGACCTAAAATTACGAAAATGAACATGGGTTATATAAGCATTATACTATATGATAATTCTATTTTTCATAATTTTAGGTCTTAAAACTCAAAAACCGTAAAATTTTTGAGTCGAATTACCTCTGAAATCTTCCTGACAAGGAAAATAGTTAGAGGCTCAATCGAATGCATCATATGATAAAATCATTGCATCTTCGATAACATAAACATCATTCACTTGTTTTCCTCGTTAATTCGAGTATTGATTACATACTATTCGTAAAACGATTCAAATATATTTTATAAAAAATTGCTGATGATTAATCAGCATCAAATCAATCATATTTTGTAGTTTTTAATATATTGGACACACAATTCTAGATGTTGAGTCGCAGTGAGATAGATGAGGGACAAATCTAAAATTGTTGCTGATACCGACGCAGGGAAGGGTTTTGGCAGGAAAACACCCCTTCATATGAAAGAATTATGTGTCACAAATTTACATCTTACTTAAATTCTTTCAAATAATTCAAATTCACTGCGATTTTATTACTTATGACCTAAAAAGAAGATGAAATTGAATTAGATAGAAAGAGTTTGGAATGTGTTAACACAAACAATATTTTTATTAGGAATTAAAAAACAATTAAATTTTTGATTAAAAAAAATAGCAATAAATATCAATAATATATCATAATTTTTCCATGTCAAGCTGATCGTGAAGAACACTTTCTTGCTTTTCACTTTCTTGTTCAGTATTTGGTTCATTAATCGTCAGCATTAGGAGGAACATGGTAACAGGGGGTACATCATAGTAGAGTATTTTAAGGATGATATCAAGCCATAAATACGAGTTTCTTTTTGTGTATGAAAGTTTAAATGCAAAATATTTTGTGTGTCCAAAAGTAAATGCGATCATATCAAATAATAAACTGGCTCCATATGCAAATATAGTGGCATTTAATTGATAGCGCCTTGCATCATGGAAAAGTACCATCATTTTATCTGAAAATACAAAAAATATGTTCAAAGTGAGAAGAATAATTGCATGAAGAAAGTAGAACACTACACTATCCCATCGGAAGTTTGTCTGATAGAAAATCTTGAAAAATTTAGAATCTGTTTTAATAGGAACGTATAGAACAACAATTTGAACGAATATAAAGGTAATAAAGGAATATTTAAGAAATTGTATCGCAAATGTAGCTCCTTTGTTAAGTGAAATTCCGATTAATTTTAATGTTTTGGCAATTTTAGCGAGATATGCGCATTGACAAATGAACCAAAAGCTTAATGGAAGCTGGTATAATCTTGATGATAGTGTTTCATGGCTGGTCAGTTCTTGTATTGGAAGGAAATTTTCAAATGCAAATTCAAAAGTGATATATGCAACAACACTCGCGCAGAATGCAATTTCTTCTCGATGAAGCTTCAGATTACCTTCTCCAAAGTACTTGATGCCGAAATAAAATATCGGAAATAATATGCAAAGTTTAGCAATTGTTTTGATAATGAGCTGGATGTTTGTACACTTGAATAGTATTGTTGATGAATTGCACAGGTTATCAATTTTTGATAATTTTGCAATAAAAGGAACTGTCATATTCAAATTTGAATACTTTTATGAATTGAGAATAATTCAATCCGATAACCTTGTTATGAAAAAGAACGTAAAAATAATCAAACACGAATATAATATTTAATAACATAAAAAAAGTCAATAAAAATAAAAAATCAATGTCAGCAGCATGACTTTGTTTTGTTTGAAGCCGCAATATTAGTTGGAATACGTATTTTCGCATGTTGTACAATAAAATTATAGGCAGATTTTGCAGTACTGACGAATAAATTATCAACTTCTTCTCCAGAGGCAGCAGAAACGAAAAATATGCTTTCAAATCTGCTTTTCATGGATTCTATATAATCTTCCATCTCAGAACTTGGAGGATTAAGATCATTTTTATTTACTGCCAAAATAAATGGAGGAACTACAGAATTTGATTCTGAAATTACATCCATCCAGTAGTCAATAGCAAAGAAAGAATCCATGTCTGTCGTTGAAACTACAAGCACAACTGCAGATGAACTCCGAGTATACATAGGAGCCAGAGATTTAAATCTTTCTTGGCCAGCAGTATCCCATATAAGTATATTTAAGTCCTGCCCATCAGTAGATATACGCTTAGACATGTGGTTTGCGCCAATTGTTGATTCAATAACTTCATTATACTCGCCTTTGATCCATCGGCTGGATAAACTTGTTTCACCTACACCTGAGTTTCCAATTATGACAATTTTACAGCTTAGTGCAGAATCGTCATTTTCGATGGTCATTAAAATGACAGTTTTTTACATTGATTTTAGATAATCGGATAAGAAAATCATAAATAGGACATGGTTTTTGGTTTATTATTTTCACTGATTGATTTTCACTTTCAAAATTTGTTATCACTCATTGATTTTCACAATATTTGAATACAATAATGGCCATTTTATTACGGGTTTAATTTTTTCATTGAACATCATTTACTTATATTAAGAATAATTATTTTAAATTGATAAAACGATAAATAATACTTTTGTGAAGATTCTTGGCATTTTCAATCAACAAATGATTGGTAGTAAATTTTATTTTTATTGCAATTATTTAAAAAAATTTCCAATATAAAATTGTTGATCGTTCATAATCTTCGAGTTTTCCAAATCATTTCTATATCACTCCAAGGCTTAACAGTCAATGACTCAAATTGAAATAATGACGTTTAAATGAATACGTCATAGAACGAATATAGTCAATCACAACCAAACAAGAAAAAGATTGACTAATTGGAGATAAAACGTTAAATCGAATGAAAATTGGGTCCATTACTCGACTTATTGAAGTGTTTTAGATAATGTAATCTTACTCTTTATTTTTAAGCATATTTATTTGAAATTGCTTCAATTTTTTTGTAACTGAACTTTTTTCGTTGAATTTTCAATAACTTACATCAGTGTTATTTGAAATGTTACTTCTTGAACTTATTCTTTTAATCATGAAAAATTTATTTGAGTTTGAGCAATAAATATATCAATAAAAAGTATTTATTTTTTATGGAGAAAATATTTTAATCATTTATCTAACTTTTTAAAGTTATTTTTGAAGAATGCAAAATGATTTTGAAAGTAGCAACATATTGACATTTCAAGCCGCGCAAAAGATAGGATCAGCTGCAATGGAATATGCTAATTTAAAGGGTTATAAGGTTTGTATTACCATTGTTGATAGATCTTGTCAAATTTTATGCGTTGCTAGGCATCATCAAGCTGGGGTTCACACTGTAAACGCTAGTTTTAAAAAAGCGTATACAGCTTGTTCGCAGAAAAGAACTACGGAAGAAATTTTTAATGGAATTAAACAAGGAACAATTCCACAAGAACTGAAAGATCTTGATCCTAATATTTTAGTACTTCCTGGCGGTATTCCCATAATATATAAGGATGAAGTTATTGGAGGAATCGGAGTTGGAGGTGCTCATCTCTCTCTTGATTCTGATGTTGCAAAAGCAGGACTTATTGCAGTTATTGATCAGAATTCGAATAAATCTGAATGAATTATCTTCATAATTTTGATATTTTTTTTTATAATTGAATTTTATTCTTTAAATAGAGTCTCAGTACACAAAATATGTGGCGTTTTTTTTTATAAATAAGAGCCTATTAATGATATGTTTCAAATATTTAAAATTATCAATAAGAGTAGTTAGTTATGAGTTCAAAAAATTCTATATTTTGTTGAGATAAATCCATCATATGAAAATCAAGCAAGTGAATCGATTGATCGACAGAATTTTTTTGTAATTAATGATTTCTAAGCATATACATGAATAAATCAATGCAACAGAGAAACAAATGTATTTCAATTTCATTGTTGATCTAATCATTTAATGAAAACAACTTAGAATTTGGAATTCATTTTCCAGAATCATAAACCTGATTATTAATATTGATTATTTAAAGGTAAATGCATTAGATAATATGAATATAAATGATAATCTGGGAGTAGGGGTAATTTTAGCTAAAAGTGACACACCCGTGAAGGGTGTGATTACCGATCGGTAATTTCGACAGTTTAGAATTTAAAATTTTTTATGGAACTGTTGCGAGTTTCATAAAGAATTTAAGGAATATAAGCAAAGATTTGAATCAAAATCTTAGACCTAAGCCGCTCGATTCGCTCGCGGCTTCCGCGAATTACAGATCAGCAAAGATTTGAATCAAAATCTTCGAACTAAGCCGATCGCTTCGCTCGCGGCTTTCTTTATTATTTTAAATTTGCATATTTCCATCAAAAGTTCATAAGGTAAAAAATTTCGTTTATTTTTACTAAGAAAAAAAAGGTTTTTGATAATAAATTTATTTTATTTCGAAAAAGTAGCAATAATCGTAAAAGGGTATTGATAGGCTTGCTAAAGTAACTAATTTTAGCTGTCAAATACTTTTGTATTTTGAAGTAAATTAGTATAAATTTGTTTTTACTTTTATTTCGAAAAAGTAGCAATAATCGTAAAAGGGTATTGATAGGCTTGCTAAAGTAACTAATTTTAGCTGTCAAATACTTTTGTATTTTGAAGTAAATTAGTATAAATTTGTTTTTACTTTTATTTCGAAAAAGTAGCAATAATCGTAAAAGGGTATTGATAGGCTTGCTAAAGTAACTAATTTTAGCTGTCAAATACTTTTGTATTTTGAAGTAAATTAGTATAAATTTGATATTATTTTAACTCCCTTTGAAAACCTCAATTTTCCATACAGAGGGAACGGGAATAGCATCCAATATTCCCTGAGAATGGTTGCGCATTCTCAGTTCCCTCTATATTTCGAACGAAGCTCTCATCGGTCTTTTTTTTTAATACTAAACGTTTTTTTTCCTGTCACTTTTAGCTAAAATTTGGGTTTGCCGATAATCTGGTGTAATAGAAGATAAAAATTGAGAGGAAAAATCTAATAAAATAAAATTAATTTAATAAATGGATCATGATAACAAAGAACTAAATAAGGCGTTTCATAAAAAATAATTAATGATTTTAATGAATTGAAATATATAAATTTTTGAGAGTAATTTAGTCAATTTCTCCCTATTTGAATGTATTAAGGAATTCGAATTTTTATCTAATATTTTAATAATAACAATTAGTAAATGATTTTCATTTTTTTGAAATTCTGTCAAGGTTATATTTTCTGAGTTGAAAGGTCAATGACAAAAAAATCTCATTCAAAATTTATCTTGCAAATCATAAAAATATTTATCTTCTTATGATATTTATTTAAATTATTAAACTTTATAAAATCATAAAAAATATGAATTGAATTATTTTCAATGAAGCTCTCAAATCTAAAATCATAAATATTATTGGGTAATAATGTTCGCGTGCTTATTATTTAGGGCTGTTAGATCAGAAATAACAGTTGGTATGCCAAATCCTAAGTACGGCACTAAACCAAACCATTTTGATGTTATCTATAAGTATCAAGACAAATTAATTGATTTCTCATTTTTTGATCAAGGCACTTCCACTAAATTAATTGTAGATGGAGAGGAGTTCGAACCAAAGACATTAAGTCCTGGACCATATGGTGGACTCATTCTTGATGTCAAATCCAAAGAAATAACCCCGAATGATGCAAATATTAAATTTATAATTACAAATACAAATAATAAAGCAGTTAAATTCAAGTTAGGAACATACACAGACATTGCTTTTAAATCAGACAAAGGTGAGGAAAATACAATAGAACCTCAATGGTCAAAAACCAGAAATGGTGATGCTCAAGGATACTTTGCTTATGCAGTTACTTCATCTGTAGAACCATCATGGCAAAGACTTGTTATTGATCATTATCCATTTATTGATGTCGATTTCAAGAAACCAGATAATTTTTGGTATGGAAGATACAGCGAAATTAGTAACAAATCAAATAAATGGTTCTTGAATTTTCCAAAGGGAACAATACCAGAATCAAAAAAGCCCCAAGGATCAGATGATCTAGTTACATCATACTCATGGAATGAGCAGACGATTGGACCAAATCAGACCGTTGTTTATGGAGTTCATATGTATTTTGTAATGGAAAATCCACTTGACATGATTGCAGAAGAATTCCGTGTCCCTGTTGAGCTTGGAAAAACAGCAAGACTTCATCCTTGGATGAGGCTCCTTACTGTTGATAAATATTATCAAATTGTTTGTACTGATTTATCAACAAATTCAGTAGTTAAACAAGCACGTTTTCAAGCCAAAGTTACAATGGATCATTATGGAATAGATATAGCACAAAGTAATAATGAGGGTGAAACCAAATATAAGTTATATTTCCAAGACGATCAAACGAAAGCAAAATCTAATGAAATAATCATCACTGTTACACGATCTACTAAACCAACATTAACTGTCACAATGCCCGCTTTTGAAAAAACATTTTTGAATCAATCAGATGTAATTAATGCAAAATTTACGGCGACATCATCAATAGGAATTAATATTTCAGCCGAATTATATGACCAATATAATATTTTGCGGAAACAAACATTAACTGAATATCAAACCAGCAATAAAACATCCAAAACTGTCACAGATGCATTCAAATATGAATTAAAGGATTTGAGATCTGGAAAATACTGTTTGAGATTACGTGCAATAAATTCAATGGGTCTACCATCCGATTCAATTGATATTAACTTCACGATGGATTTTGCCACGTAAATTCTTCAGTATGGATTTGATAATAATGTATTATCACCAAAGGAATCAGCAATATTTTGAGTTAAATTTAGTGAAACTGATGTTCAACAGACAATTAAATTTAGTCTCAAAATACTCGATAAGACATTTAATTCATCTGAAATTCATCCAAACGGTGTTGAACAAAATTGTGATTTTAAGGTGGATATACCAGATCTTCCTGAAAATAAATACAACTGCATCTTTAATGCCTACGTAGATGGAGTGTTACTTTTCACTGATAATATTCAAATAACTATTTCGGCAAAACCAAAAATAAAGGTATATCCTTTGAGCAAAAGAGACGAATTCACAAGCTCTGATTATTTGGTGTTTAATGTTGAAATTTCAGATGAAAATCAAGGAAATATTTCATTAAAAATCGATAACAAAGAAGTCTTAAACACTAAATATCAAGCTAGTTTATCAGGACAAAACACAACAATTAGATATTCATTAAAGGATTTATCTTACAGAGAAAATCCTTATCCATATGAAATTTATGTATTTGATAGTCATGGTATCAAATCAAATTCATTCAAATCTTCATTCTCAATATTGAGCAGGCCAAAAATAAATTTGATTGAGATGCCAAAAGTCTCCAGTCCAAGAAAACCAGTTACTCTGAAATTGAATTTTGAAGACAACGATTCAACAAAAGAACTGATACTGTTTTATAATTACAACAAGCAATCAAAAAAGGTTAAAACAATTCAATCATTGGGAAATGGTACACAATATAAGGAGATTGAATTTGAATATCCAGGTACAAGCAATGGAACAATAACTTTTTATTTGACAAGTGAAAAATCAATTCCAGAGAATTTAGAAGTTTTGAATCTTTCAATATTCAATAAATTCTCAATGGATATAACGAGCACAGATCGTCCAAAAATTATTGTTTATTATCCACAAGATGGTGAGAGCTATGGAAATAACGAAACACTAGATTTTAATTTAACAATTCTTGATGATGATAACGGGGATATAAAATATTTAATTAATGATCGTGAAGATATTAATTACACAGGCTTATCAAAGACATATAGAATTTCTGAAGGTTCTGGAAATATAACATATAATGTTAAGCTACATTTCCCCGTATGGTGCACATTCTTAACCAATAACGGTGAGTATACGCTATCAGTTTATGTTGTTGATCATTTTGGTCTAAAATCAGATATTAGGAATACCACATTCCAAATAAGAAACAAACCAATTATTAATGAAATAAAATTGTCATCAACACTTATTAGAGCCGATTCGCCAGAATCAAGAAAAATTACCATGGAAGGATTCTTCACAGACTATGATGTTGGTAAAACAATCGTTTTTAGAGTTAAGGAAGGTGAAAATGACATTGAACGCAATCTAAAGCCATATGGAAACACTCAATCTGATGGCGGTAAAAAACGTTTCAAATTTGATTATACTGTGAGGAAAACTGCATCTAATTTAAGTCTTATCATTTGGGTTGAAGATGATAATGATATTGTACGCGACAAACATAATGGAGAGTCCGAAAAGGCAGTAATACCAATAAGTATTTCTAAATCGCCTCAAATTGTTTCTGTTTGTCCAAAGAGTAGTTTTGGAGTTAATGACTCATATCCACTTGATATGGAAATTCGTGATGAAACAAATGGAAAAGTTGTTGTTTATTTAGATGGAAAACTTGTAAAACAGATTCCTTATAATGCAACAATCGTGGAAAATGGGCTAACCATCGACAGAATTAATACATCATGCCTACTTCCAAATGATCTTTCAAGAACTGAACACAAAATAGACTATTATCCAATTGATGAATTTGGATTTGAGGCAACACCAGTATGGATGAAGAATTGCACATTTACTTATAAGAGCAGACCAATTCTAAAAGATTTGAAATTAAATAGGACGAAAATTGATAATGACGAACCTGTAAGCATAACCGGATGGGTAACAGATTATGATAAAGACAAAGTTATTTATATAATGCAACGGATTGCAGATCAATCACCAATTCCAATTGGAAATATTACTTCCAATGGCAATTCACAAGAGTTTTCATTCGAATTGGCTAATCTTGTTGCACAAGGTTCTGGAAATCGATCAATTACATTCTGGGCTTCTGATTCTAATACTTCTAAACCTGAAGATACAGTAGATAGAAACATGAATTCCGAAACAGTGACTTTATATCTATTTTGGGCAAATGATCCTGATTTTACTATCAATTTCCCTGATGGATACATTTATTCACCAGGAGAACCAGTTAAAATCCAATTTAATGTTACAGCTGATCTTAAAGGAAGTATATATCTTATGGATCTTAGCAAATATGGTATCCTTCATCAGGAAACAATTTCTTATGAGCATTCAGGAACTATTAACAAAGAATTTACATATGATTATCCAGGAACATATAGTATTTTATGCATGGGTTCAAAATATTGAAGATTACCATGATCCTCCAGAGAAAAATTCGAAATCAGAAGTTAGAGATGAAGATATTTATATTACAAAACCAATAGTAGATATTAACTTCCCATTTGAAGAAATTTTCGGACATCATGATATAATTCCATTAACATATTCCGTTACAGATGAAACCAAAGGTAATATTACTGTAACATTGGATGGTGTTTATCTTGCATCCAAGACATATGAAAGCTATAATAAGAAAATCGATTCTTCATTTGAAAATCTAATGATCAATTATAGGGTGAACTTTTCCACTATGTATGCAAATTATCATGTATTGATGGTTGAGATCATGGATGAACATGGAAGTTCTGTTTTTGATTACAAATACATACAAATTGTTAATCAGCCAAAGATCAAATCTGTTAAATTTGATAAGAATGTTTATTTACTGAATGAACTTGCAACGGTTACAATAGACTACTCTGATGTTGATAAAGGAAAATATTTAATGTTCTACTATGTTGTTGATGAAAAAACATATACAATGTGGAGTGGAGCCAAATCAAACGGAAATGATCAAACATCTTATCAAATAACATTTATTCCATTTGATCTTAAACCTGCCCTTAAATCGTTCCAGTTTTACGTAACAAGCAGGAATATTTTAAGAGAAGAAAAGTATAAAAATTCTGATTCACCTGTTAAATCAATTCCACTCACAATTACTTTCTCTCCAACACTTACTCTATATGAGCTCAGTGAAACGGTTTATTCAAGTGAAGAAAGGATAAAATTTTCTGGAACACTTAAATGCGATTTGCTTGCATATATTGAATTTTGGGATGGTGCAACAAGTGTTGGAAGAATTGGTCCATTTGAATCTGGCACAATAGCAAATACTATTTGGGAACTTCCGCAAACAATGAAATATGGAAGTTATAATCTTGTCGCTAGAGCAATAGACAAAAATAATTATGAATCAGAAGAAGGTGTTGATATCTTCATTCAAATTAGGAACAAACCTACAATAACATCTGTAACCAATTACAATACAGTTATTCCAGAAGATGGATATTTCTTCGGATATGCTCATGTTAATGATCCTGATGAAGGTAAACCAATAATCATTTATGGCCGCATTAATAATGATGGTGACACATTTATTTTAAGTAATAATTATAAGACATCAGATGGAGGAAGTGATCAATATTTCAGTATGTTAAATTATCTTCCAGAAGATGTTACTCTTTATGTCTGGGCATCAAGTTCATATAATAAAAATAATAAAGATAAGAATGTAGTTTCAAAGGAATATCCAATTCCATTATATATTACGGTTTATCCAACATTTGAAGTTACATACTTGACAAACGAGGAATACTTCTTGCCAAATTCAACAATTGATTTTGCATACAAAGTTTCAGATGATCAAGAAGTCAGCATTGATGTATACTATAATTCATTTTCACGTGTGCACTCATCTCAGAAAATCACTCTCAAGAATGGAAAGGCAAGTGGCAAGATTTCATTTAGAATCCCAGAAGATGCTGATATAACTGACGAGCATTATATTATTCCATATGCTGTTGATAACTTTGGATATAAGACACCTGGACCATTCTATGTTTTCATGGTTCAGAATAGACCAAAAATAAATAAAGTTGAATTCAATCCAAAGTTTGGTCTCCAATCAGAAGATATCAGCGTTGAGATTTTATATGATGATGTTGACAAAGGCAAAGTTCTTTACGGATTCATGCAAATTGACAATAGAAAAGTTGAGAAACCTTTCACAAGTTTCATATCCAATGGAACTCTTAACCAAATCGCCAAAAGTGGAATTCATATTGAATCAAATGAAACTATTGGTTCAAAGAATATTAAATTCTGGATTTCATCTAGCAAAGATGTTGAATACAGGAATAATCTTGTTGTTTCATCTCCACAATATGGTGCAACCCTCCAGGTAACATATAAACCATCAATGAAGTTAAGTAAACCAGAGAAGAAGGTTTATAAAGATGGAGATAAAATCATTGTTGTAGGTTCTTTGAACTCTCATACAGATGTAACATTATTGTACTTTATTGACCAGGAACAATTAAATGAAACCACGAAGATTACTGTTGAAAGTGATCCTCAGGCATTTACGACATTTGTTACTATTACATATAATTATAAGTACGGAAAATATCAATTCAGTGTTTTGGCGGAAGATTCTAATGGACAGAGAACTAATCTCCAAAGTATGGAATTTGAAATCCATAATCCACCACGAATTCGTTCATTCCAGATTGAAAATGATGTCATTAAACCAGGAGACAAATTGAACGTTAAAGGAAAGGTATTTGATTCTGATATGGATGACGAAATCCGTATCTTCTATAAGATTGATCAAAGATCCGACCAGCTTCTATTAACGTTATTATCTGATTCAACTGAAATGTCATTTGCAGAGTCAATTACTCTTCCATATGATATTGAGTTAGGTGATCATACTCTTCATCTTCATTGCCGTGATAAAGACAATGAAAAATCTGCAATAGTTTCAATAGCATTCACTGTCTCGAAGAAGGCTGACAATAATGGCGGCGATAGCACAGATCCATCAGGAGGCAATTCAACCTCTGATAATTCTAATTCATCAAACTCAAAGAAGACAAGAGCAAAATTTGCAGGACTTTATGCTGGTATCGCAATTGTTGTCATTGTTTTCATTGTTTTGGTTATTATTGCAGTCCTTTTGCTCATCAGAGGAAAGGGTAATCAAAATAATGAATCTGCAAGTGATCAAGACTTCCAAGAAAAAGAGACACAAATCATTAGTAGCACAACAACAGCATCAGTTAACCCAGACGAAGTTGCAACACATGATAATCCGTTATTTAATTCAACAGAAATAACTCATGACAATGATCCATTTTCTGATGAATTTGAAGAGCAGAATCCTTAAATAACATATATTTTTATGAGATGGATAAAATGCACACATTTGCACACATTTTGACACTTTTCTGACAAGCATCATTCAAATTTGAAGAAAAACCTCTAAATTTCATTCAAATTTCTGTCAAAATGAATATTTGGTCCCCGAAATAAATTTATATACGTTTCCTGTCCAATCATCGTTAGGATTCTTTGTTTGATTGAATCGTATATATGATGAAATTTGTGGATATTCAAGTAGGAATCCATAAACTCCATTGATCATAAAATCTTCATTAATAAGATTTAATAAACTATATTTATGTCTAGTTTGAACAAAAATGGCTTCTGAATCATTAAACAAATCATTTTTTGATCGAAATATATCATGGTGATAAATTTGTAACCAAGTTACGTTCTCAAAAGTTTTAATTCTGTATCCAGAGAAATATTTGTATACTTCCTCATCTATTGTTGGATAATGGTCGTAAATTTGATATGACAAATTCTAGATTTTAAAACTATTGATCAAACTTAAAAATGTCACTTTTTAATTATTTATGGTGATCCTAAAATTCAACTTTAAGGATACCCTTACGTGTCAGATTTTTTGCGCATACGAAGAAGTCATGCTAGACATGAGCTATAAACCTGAAATTTTAGCAACATATTTAAAACTTTTTAAACTACAATACACTTTAATATTCAAGAACAAAAATATTCTTTTTAGAAATTACATAATTATTTTATGTGAAATCTATATAAAAACATATTTTGCGAGCGTAACTTTTTTCTTTATAAGCACCTTATATGACTGATAAACTGTGAAGGCACATAATTGTTAATTCATAGAGTTGATATGTTTCCAAAATTGAGAGGAAATTTGAAAATTGAATACCCTTTCAATTCAATTTTCAAAAGATATCAGCTCCTTCAATAATTGAAGGACGATTTTGATCATTTGCTCTTAAAACAAGTATGCCATGGAGAAAAAAGTTACGCTCGCAAATCTGAAATATAACTATCATATAAAAAAAATTAAATTTCTAATTTTTTACTCTATAGATATTATTGGCCACTTGTGTAATGCATAAAAGTTTATGTCATATGCATATATTTGGAAGTATGGGAGACGAGGGAAATTACTTCTATGAGGCACTAGAATTTTTAAAAATTTCTCTATCGGACTCACCATTCAATTTCTCGAAAATTAAAAAAAATCAATAATAGCTAAAATGTATTATGCATAACAAATTTTAATGTTACACGGTATTTTTTGAACTTCATGACATGAATTTTCTTTATATTATTTTTTTTTTTTTGGATTTTCTATGATTTATGCGATAGGCTGGAACAACATTGTAAGTGCAATGATATCATTTATAGAGAAATCTAAAATTTCAGCATTCAGAACTCGCAACCACAAAAATATTCATTTGCTAAGTAAGTAAAGTTGATTAAGTTCGACACTTAGCTTTTATACGTAAAACCAAGTGTGTATTGTTATTTCTTGTTAAATTATTGAGAAAAAAATAAATTGTAAGAGAAACGATACTGATTATTGAAATAATATTGAGGGTAGCTGCAGATTTCTTCATTAACATGCCGGAAATTTGTTAATCTTGGTTTTCTATCATAAAATCTGTCGAAGAATCTAAAAACGGAGATATGAAATAGAGATCATGTAAATCTAGAGTATCCTGTCAGAAAAATAGACTAAGCATGTAACCCTTTTTTGGTCATAAACACTTTTTACCACTTAGTCATACAGATGATCATTAAATTTAAACGAGCACTTTTTGTCAGAATTTATTCTTTTACAAAGACAGAAGATTTTAGTATTATTTAATATTAGTGCTGTAGCAAAATTCAAAAAACGGTGAAAATTCAGTGAATTTGTGAATTCACATTTTTTTTCGACATTTTTTCTTGATATATCCATGCACATTAAGAACACAGCTTTGATACGCTTAAAAAAGCATATTTCATATGAATTGTTAAAGAAATAAACAATTTATATAAAAATTGCACTTATGGGCAGTTTAGATATATAATTTATATATAACATATATACAAATCCATAGACAAAGTGCAATAACTACAATGTTGTAGAAAATTACAGCAGAAATACTGACTTTTTGAAGGATAATAAGAATTCTTCTAAATGTTGTATTTTTATAATTTGATTGATTTTTTTTTACTATTTCATTAATCTTTTATGAATAATAATTATTTTTAATATATGTGCTATTAAAATTTCAAATTTTGACTAATATATCTAAGTTATCTGAACGAAACATTTAGAAAATATCATACTTACATTGAAATAGCAAGTAGAGCATATTAATAGCAAGTTTCTTGGCTTTATATCTATCATCTATTGTTGTTTGATCAAACAAAATTCACTCTATTATATGGTGTCAATTAATTAAAACAATTTTTAATAGTTATTTATTTAGTGCGAATAAGTGCAAACTCATAAATGAATAACTTAATAGTAGAAATGAATTATCTGATATAAATCTCACATTTTGTCCATCAGAAATACTTTAATTGCATACGCATAACTATTAGTAATACGTCTGGAGTGTCAATTAATAACAATCCCACAACAAGTAAAATTCAGATTTTTATTAAACTTATTTTTTCCTAAAAGTTTTCTCAAATTACTATATATACATATGTGGATAAAATAATAGTAATATTGTAAAAAATTAGATAATTTTTTTTATTTGAGAACCTCTCAAAAGTTCATTCAATTTATCAATTGTTTCAGTTTGATGTATATTCATTTCTGGAGCCTAAAACTTTAGCAATCATGACAATATCATATTCTCTTTCTAACTACGCAATGTAAGGGTATCCTTAAATGACAATTCTTAGAAGAAGATTCAAAAGTGCTGGAAGAGAATACAGTATCTTTGATAACAATGTATTCTTAAAGGTCTTTGAACATAAAAACTCTCCAGATGTTTACTTTAATAATAGTTTAGAAGTATTAAATATTGATGAAGAAAACAAATACTCTATTTTGTCTGAACTCTCAGATAATGAACGATATACAGACTTTAAATACACTTTTCTTCTTTATTACCCAGAAATTTCAATTTACAACTACTGGCAACAAATCAACAATCCCTATAAATGAGACAGACAATTATACAGGAACATTTATTCCATATAATGTTACTGGATATCGACATATCAGTATTAATGCAGATAGAAAAGTGACAAATTGTTATTTAAGAGGGTTGTTAGTTTCTAGTTATCCATGTACTTATATAGATGGATGTCCAGGTTGCTATAGTTGGTACTACTCTATTGGAAGGTTTCAAAATACAAATATAAATTGAGTCTTTGGTAAAAGTATGATCACATCTAATGAAAAACTTGTTGCACAAGTGAGTCTTTGGGTTAAAGTTTCCAAAGAAAAAAAAAAGAATTTTGCAATTCAATCAAATTCCAAAATCAATGCATATCTATTAGCTTTTCAATTTATTCGGTTTTCATTCTGCTCTAATAAAAACTAACTTCCAGAATAGAATATATACTATCTAAGGAAAAGATACACTTTTTTCCGATGTCAGATTTTAAGATACACTTTTTTCGGATTTTTTTCGCGGATTTTTTTCAAACGCATATATCTCTTTATGGGATTATTTTTATGAGCTGTCATTATAGTGATAGATGTAAAAGTCCTTATATCATCATATTATATTGTTTGTTTGTTAAAGTAAATATATACATGTTTTATTCAATTTAATTGAGCATATATTATGGGTATCTGAGCTTGTCAATGATGTGGTTATATGTTATTTATGTCGTAGATTCAGAGTATACACGTAACATTCTGACCTCCTATTGAATTCAATCATGAATATTCCTGGAGAAATTGAGACAATATAAAATAAACATAAATTACTGAAGTAACATTAATTCTAACGTGAATGTTGATTTAAAATGCTCGAAATGAATAACATGTGTATTATTTAAATAATGCGTCAATTAGTTTACAAAAAAAGCATTTATTCGCTTAAGATTAAAAGTGAAAACTAACATATTAATTATTTTATAAGCCCAAAAAAGTATCAGTGTGAAATTAAAACTTAGTGAGAAAAAATATAGGTCCTAAAACTAAAACATATTTTGTACATTGATTATTTATCAAGTAATATCCCAAAAAGCATTAATAAATGATTAATCAATTGAAATATAAAACATGAAGACTGAATACAAAGATCATTCAGAAATGTGATTCGAATGGCACCATCACCAATATGACCTTCTTCAATAGAATATTCTGGACTAAAGAATGACTGATTTCCATTATACATTCGACTTTCAGAAAAAATAATACCTGAATAATGTTTTGATTGATTTGTATGAATTCCATTTTCATCAACTGAATTACATCCTTCATATCCACTTATGAAACTAGAACCGCTTGATGAGACCGCTCTATAAAATTTTGCATTGAGTGGCTCTAATTCTCCAGCTTTACCACCATAATAACCACCTCCTGCACCTGAAGGAGGAACATTAATATAATTTTGACCATCTTGACCTTGACCAAGTTTGTAACCTGATGTTTGAGTGGTGTCACTTTTGACAAAATCTTTTTTATATAAGCTTTGAACTTTGTAGCCTGTTAAATCGCCTCCTGGAGCTCCAAATGAATTTAATGCTGATCCAGAACCGCCAGCAGCAACAATAATTCTACTATAAAGAGATTTATTTGTTGAATCACTAATTAATCTGATATCTGTCGCACCTCCTCCTCCACCTGAAGGGTCATCATCGCTGGTACCAACAGTTCCGGTATCATATCCAGAATTGCCACCTCCATTAAGGCTCCGGTCCTGCATGATTACTGCATATAGTTAGGACGAGTGTCTAATAAGGAGTAAAAATATACCAATAGATTGCACATATACCAATATTTTGTAAAAATTAAATATTATCTATTTTTAAAATTTTCGAATTTGACTATATTATCGTTTTAAACATGATATATACTAACTTTACTATTTGATATATGATAAATAATGATATTTTAAAAATTGAAAATTTGGATTTTTAAATTTGCAAAGTATATAGTATAGTAAATTCATAAATGAGTATAATGTGCCCAATTATAACAATTTTCAATCATTTGATAATTCTATGACTATGGATTTTTGTACTTCTAATTAAAATAATGTCACTTTTTAATATATTGAGTTTAAGGTTTAAATTTAATTTAAAAAATCGATTTGTTTAAGGTCGCCAAAAAAAGTGCGGAAATTAAAAACCGCAGTTTGAGTACTTTCTGAGAGTCTGTTTGTCAGAAAGTATACATTTGTAAACTTTCTGACACTAATTTTTTTTGGTCCTTTCAAAGTTTTTGACAATGTCAAAAAGTATACATCGGGGCTCACAATTTCCCTCTCAAACGGTGGTTTTTTAAAAACGCTCAATTTTTCATCGACCTTATACATATTGGAAAGGAATCTTTTGATAATATCTTTTGTATATTAATACATTATGACTTATACTATGTCACCATAATATAAGTTCAAATTTTTATCATGCACATCAATATAAAATTGTAATTCAAAAAACACCTACTTCTATCGTCAAAAATACTCTCAATTTGAAAAAATACATCAAAAATATCAAATTTGCAAACCTAATTCTTCGAAATACCGAAGAAGGTAGAATATACAAATAGTGTCGGCAGAAACTATATAATTTTCTTTACAAATTGTCGAAGGGGAACTGAGAGTTTTTTCTTATACGTTGAATTATAAATCAAATTATTGAATGGATTTTTGGAAAATTGAATACTCAATTATCGAAAAACCGTTTTGACAAAAAGTGATTAATACAATATTGTTGCCTATATTAAGTAATTATCATATATGATTTTTATTATCATATCAATTAATCGTGCATGAAGTTATTCTCGACGCAAAAATCGTTTTTTATAGGGGTCTTGAAAATCTAATTCTTCTTTCATATATTTTTTTAGAAGCAAACTCACTATATCAAAATAAACTTTAGATGCATTCTAACAATTTGTCGAAGGGGAACTGAGAGTTTTTTCTTTATTATCAAGATATGACAAAAAATGTTAATATACAATTTTTTAATATTCGACATATATAGCGATAATGTAACATTATATGATTTTATTATATTATGATAGCATATATAAACCTTATCATATTATTAAAACTTTCACAAATCAAAAATATCTAGATTCTGTCAAAAAGTGATTTGTCGGATTTTTTCAAAAAAACAAATTACTCATCTAGAAGAGATTGTAAATCAAGTTTACTAATAACAATATAATGTATCACTAATATGCTATAAAATGTCGTGGGCTTTTTTGATTATAAATAGTTTTACCGGTCAAAGTTGAAATTTGTCAAAATACCGAATTCTCAGATAAGATGAACTATAATAGTAATACTCAGTTTAAATATACTATACTATAGTGTATTACATAATGATATTATGTACTAAAATAAATGTATCAAAAACTCATATTGGTGGAGATATTAAAACTTTTAAAATTGAGAGGGTGGGACCGGAGCCTTAAAACCACCTTTTCCGTTGTATCTGAAATTACATTGGAGAGGATCTTGGCCTTGACGACCAATATAAAGAAATAATCTTTGTGAATGTGTAAATACTACTTTACCATATACATATGCACCTCGTCCACCATAATATTGGGTTAATTTTTTGGAATCAGAGCAACCTTGACCGCCTTGAGCTCCCCATAGCTCAAACAAATATTTTCCTTTTTTAAGATTGATTTCTTGAACTGGATTCTGTTCATTATATCTATATAGACTCACTCAAATTTACAATTTTTACACTATACAAAAATTGAATGATTGAAGCAATTTTTTAAAGTTTTCAATTATAAGTATGTTTTAAGAAATTAGTCAAAACTCACCAATTCAAATGCCATATTTTGCTCATATTATTTGTATATTTAGTGCCTGATTTAAATTTATATATGATTCCGTTACAATCACTATTAAGATTTGTAGTTTGTATTAAAGATATTATTGATATTGAAACATATATTAGTAGGGTATATACAAAGATTATTATTTCTATGATATTGAAAAGTGTTTTTTTATTATAGCTTTCACTTCACTTTCAGGCACCTTTAAGGCTTCACTAACATGACAAAAATTAAAGTCCCTTGAGATATATATTCTATGATGTATATAAATGCTATATTTATCATTATTTTTAATTTTTATTGACCCACCCAAAAAAAGCCTTCTTCCACTAACATGAGTTATAACGTGCTTTTTCTGAAAATGATAGACTAGTATTAATATATATTGTAGAGCATATTTTTCATCTTTTTTAAAATTTTGAATATTTTTTGTCATGTTAGTGAAGCCTTAAAATGATAATAATATTCTGAAAAAGTGACATTATATTATATCACAGATTATATTAACATCTGGCATCAAATAGTCGTCGTGATATGAAATAAAATCAGGATAAAAGATTTATCTTTATAATCGGTTTGACACACGCACTTTTTTCGTCTCTTTTTCTTGAAGTATAATTAGAATAAATAAGATGATTTTATGAGTACCACAAATTTTATTAGGAATGAATCATTTATCATGCATGATGATGTATACAATATCAATGGATATGAAGTCATTCGCTTTAATGGAACTAATTGGCTAAAAATTTATCATCATAACAGTAAGTATGGTTTTTTTTTCATCCAGATCATCAGCAAACTACTCATTAGAGTATCATCGTTTCTCGTTACTTAGTCTTATAGATGATTCGTTTAAAATCAAAACCGATAATTCAGAATACTTTTCACTTCTTATGGAATATCCTCAACTCAATCAATATATTCAGTTTAGGCAAAATTTATTTTTTACAACTGATCAAAATTCTGTCGAAGGATTTATGACTGTTAATAAAGTCGGAAGTTGGAATCAATTTGCAGGAATTCACTATTTAGAGATTAAAGCTTCAAATAGTTTATATGTTGGATGCAGTAATGGATATAATAACTATTATTCTATAGGTACAATTTCTACTGCTAAAGAAGGTACTTATCCAGATTATTTTGCAGATTGTGTTCTCCAAATTACTGATCTTTGGATTGAAATTGAAGATTTTTCTTTAATCAATAGATTTAAGCCTATTTTCAAGTGTTCAAAAGATTTATGCTATCGATTTCATTTTTCATTTAAAAATATATTAGTTTTCATATTGATTTATAAATAAAAAATTGATTAATTAATAAACTGCTCGTCAAAATCTGATCGGATTTTTGAGTCAACTTATACAATTAATTCAATGAGTTTCTCTCAAATTGGTGTCAAAATCAGACCTGCGCTTTTTGAGACATTCATTTTTAACCTTTATTCTTAAATTAACAAAGAAATGAGATATATATGATAAGAGTTCTTTTACAATGCCAAATTCTGAAATTGTCGGCATTTTCAATCTAAATATACGGGATCGCAAATTCAAATTTCAGCATTTATCTGCTGATTAAGGCGATTATTAGTGAGGGTAGCATGCATGAGAAAGAATTTTCATCCCAGAAATGCTAATTCAAATATTTATAATCCCATAGGAAGGCTTGGATGCTTCCGTTAAAATATGAAAACTTAAAATTGAGAGGCCTGCGCTTTTTAATTTTCAGTTTATTCTTATATTTATCTTCAGGAAACAAATCAATATTGATGGCATATTCATCGAGTTAATAATATAGCTGTTATTCATATCTACATATAATCATATATATTTATAAGATATATTGTCTAAAAGATAAGTTGGTAATGCAAATAAAAACCATTTATCAAACTTTTCAGTAGCAAAATAAAGAATAAAATTGGTTGTCAACTGAAATTTTTATGAGTTTATGGGTAGTATTTCATGATGCGATATTCACTTGAAAATAATACAGTACAAGGTGCAAATGTAAGTGTATCTGTAGAAGGAAATAAATATTACTTTAATTACCCTTGTAAGGAATCACACATTTGCACAGACTATGTTATAGAATTACAAGCAGGTTTATACAAATTCCAACTATATGGAGCGAGTGGTGGAAGTCATGCAGGACAAACTTCATCATTTCGAAAACCAGACGGAAGTTGTATCTCAGATGATGTTGTTTCACGTGTTGGTGGCAACACAATTTGCAACAAAATTGATAGTAATGGCGAATCAGGCGGTTATGTCAAAGGTATCATATTGTTTCAAAGTGCAATCAAAATTTTTGCGACGATAGGTGGCAAAGGAATTTTTGGTCATAAGATAACAAAATATGGAACGGCCGATTGTTTTTATAAAGAAAATATGCAACCAGGTGGCTATGGTGGCGGTGGAAGCTCATCCAACTATTATCAAGGAGAATCTTTAGACGGGACAGGAAGTGGAGGTGGTCAAACCGCTGTCAAATTTATTGAGAACGATTTATGGCATCGCGTTTTAGTAAGTGGTGGTGGAGGAGGAAGTGAAAATAGAGGAGGCACATATAGATCAACTGAAGATGGATCAGGAGGTGCAGGAGGAAATCTTAATGCACAAGGATATTTCTTGAATGGAGCCTTTTTTTGACTTACATATCAAAAAGTAGAGTCCTTCCCAATTTTGAATTGAATTTTAATTAGTAGAATCAGGAAAAAGAAAAATAAAAAATAAAAGAGAATAGTTAAGCCGAAAAAGAAAATAACATGATTTAGCTATGTGTTTATCTAAAATAGTAATGATAAGTAATCCATTACCTGTCCAAACACCTGCTACATGTTCAACATCATGGAATAAGTACTTATAATCTCGGATGATATCAAATGCGTACTTTCGACTTTGATTGTTTTCATAGAATTCGTCTCTCGCTTCGATTTCGCCTTCAGGAATCTGACAACCTCTTGTGAAAGCGAAAGAACTTCCCCCACCTGCACCTGCTTGGCCATGTTGCCCTGAAAAACCGCCAAACCACCCACCACCAGCACCTCCTGAATCATGAGTTGTAGCAACTTTTACACCTCTAGGATGCTTTGATTCTTTAAATTGAGATGCTTCACCAGTACCAAATGTAAAACCGGTAATAGATGTTGCAATAAGATTTGATTGAAGAGCTCCATTCAAGAAATATCCTTGTGCATTCAGATTTCCTCCTGCACCTCCTGACCCATCTTCGGTTGATCTATATGAGCCTCCTCTATTTTCACTACTCTCCACCACATTACTAAAACCGTGCCATAAATCGTTCTCAAAAAATTTGACAGCGGTTTGACCACCTCCACTACCTGTTCGAGGCGTGCTGAACAGTTGGGTGGAAATTGAATACCCACACTTCAGCATGGACCCTTCTGATGGAGATAGACCCAACATGTATATGGATGAATATTAGGACATTAGGTATAGATGAACATATATAGGAATGAGGACCACCTTGGGTCAGCATCAGATATCGAATTTTAGAACCATCTAATTTTCATTCAATATTCTATAGGTGCAATGTATGTTTCCTATATATAAAGGTTTGATAATAGTTCGGTCTCAATATAGATCTTTGGTCCCAATTTATATTATGAATATCATCAATTTGTGTGTTTTTAACATTATATATTAGTATTGTGTTGATATAATGCTATATTATGTAGTGGTAGGTGTGTCTTGATATAAATTATGTTATTGATTGGGATATGAGTACAAATGCAAGTTATCCCGGGGTGAGGTCAGGGCTATCGCGTCCTAATTCATAGGGAAGGGTTATCATGCCTAGTATGTGTGTGCTGTGCTATCCGTTTGTCCATTGGATGGCACAGCACACACAATCACAAGACAAAACCTCGAAGCGAGGAACAGTTCTTGTAAGGATGTGGTAACTATATACCTATCCTTACAAGAACTTGTATAGTGGAGCAATGTTTCGAATTGCTCCACTTTTCCTCCCATCGAGGTTATCCCGAGGTGAAGTCATAGCAATGGGGCTCATATTGATGGTGCACCATTGCTATGACTTGCACCTTCGTATGGTACTATCCATTATGAATTTTGAAATAATTTTGCAATTGAAATATCTTAAATTTAACAAAAAAGGCCGAGAAGGGGGTCCTTTCTCAAGGTCAGGGCCCCTTCTAGTCTTTCTGGTGTCGGAAGGAGTGGCTTTTGCCAGTATTGCCGCTCCTTCCGGCATCATCTTTGCATTTCGCAATTGTCGCGGCAAGTGCATTCTGGCACCACAGGTGCACTTGCCGCGACATATGATTGCGAGTGTCTGCTGCTCAGCCCCGGATTCGCAGCAGACACTCGCAATGCGAACCAAAGTTCGCCAGAAAGACCGGGAAGGGGGTCCTTTCTCAAGGTCAGGGCCCCCTTCTAGTCTTTCTAGAACTGTAATTTGACTTATTTTGCCGAATCTCAGGGAAAACCGTCCGTGATTTGAACGATCTCCTGAGATTCGGCAAATTTGATTGTAAGCGAGGCTCTGGCCTTTGCTTGGGCCAGAGCCTGTATTTGTATGTCTTTCAGGGCCGAGTTCCTGCGAGACGTCGACATGATCGACGATCATCGCAGAACTCGGCCCTGAGGATGAATTTTGCAGGCTCTGGCCTTTGCTTGGGCCAGAGCTTCGTATTTTCTACTTCCCAGGGCCGGATTCCACTCCTGCCGCCCGGGATAAGGGCGGCATTTGGGAAAGCCGGCCCTGGGGAATGTAAGCCATGCCCTGGCCTTTGCTATGGCCAGAGCCTGTATTTGCATGTCTTTCAGGGCCGAGAAGAGAGGAGATCGCCAATGATGTGGACGATCTCCCTCAAACTCGGCCCTGCGGATTGTATTTACAAGCTCTGGCCTCGGAAAAGGCCAGAGCTTCGTATGGACGTTCTCTCGGGACTGGATTCCTCTCCGGCCGCCCCGAATCAGGGCGGTCTTTGAGGAAGCCGGCCCCGAGGATTGTTTGCGAAGCTCTGGCTTTTCCTGAGGCCAGAGCTTGTGATTTTCGTTCAAAGCCAAGTTCCTCTCGGATCAGGCCTAATGAGGACGACCGTCGAGGAACTTGGCTCTGAGGGGATGAATTGTTGGCTCTGGCCTCGATGAAGGCCAGAGTTTTGAATGGAATGTTTTGATGGGATGAGCCTATGAGCAGTAAGCTCGTCCCATCAAAACATTCGTTTAAAAATTGAATTAAAAATTATCGTATGCATTCAAAAATTAAAACAATTAATATGTATAATATTATTATGTAATAATAATAGAATAAAATATATATAAAATTATGTAAAATTTTCAAAAAATATTGGAAAATGGAATTTTGAAAGAAAAAATAAGAGTTTGTATATGAAAAATTGATATTAGAAAAAATCTAGATTAGTAGAGTTAGATTATTTAGAATTTAAATGAGAAATGAATTATGAAAAAGGAAGATTAGAAAGAATTGTATATTTATAATTTAATAAAATGAAGGAATCGAACTAAGGAGTTTACAATTACAATACAATAGGACAATATATTGTAATTGTAAACTCCTTTCGAGAAACGATTTTCGAATGTGACATTCGTGCCACAAAGTGAAAGCTTTTCTCGAAAGGAGTTTACAATTACAATACAATAGGACAATATATTGTAATTGTAAACTCCTTTCGAGAAACGATTTTCGAATGTGACATTCATGTCAAACAATTAAGCAAATTTCTTATCTGAGTACATGTATGCAGGGTGCCATGGAAAGACCCTGCATATATGCACTCAGATCGGAAACTTTGTTCACGATGTCACATCGTGGAACAAAAGTGGCAATATTCCCGATCTGAGTACATATATGCAGGGTGCCATGGAAAGACCCTGCATATATGCACTCAGATCGGAAACTTTGTTCACGATGTCACATCGTGGAACAAAAGTGGACAATATTCCCGATCTGAGTACATGTATGCAGGGTGCCATGGAAAGACCCTGCATATATGCACTCAGATCGGAAACTTTGTTCACGATGTCACATTGCGGAACAAAAGTGAGAGCAAACCGAACATTTTAACCACATTATAAGTTTATGTAAGGATAAAAATATAAATTCCCTGTCCTTGCACAAACTGTTGCTCGCTACGAAGTTTTGCTTTGTGATTCCGCGTGCAGAATTATTTTAAGCACATTTCAATAGTACAGTTCACATATAATATATGAATAAAACAATTTTATAACCTCATAATATAAAAATAAATGTTTTGAGTTCGCCATAAATTATGCATTCCCATTATTTTGGATCTATATACTTATTCCTAATAATATATATTATAACTCATATAGTACCCCTTATATCTACTGTGATAATATAAAAAAACGATTTCTGTGTTAAGATATAATTTATCTCACATATCAAACTATGGATTTAACCTATAATAACACAAGAAACATATAATATATACATATGTCTATATGCACACATGACAATTAGGCCTATATTAGATAATTTTTCGTTCACAATAATCTTATATATCTGACCAAAAACTCAGATTTGCCTGAGAGTTACTGAGGATAATCTCATATGTACCCTCTATCTTCCTGCTTAACCCTAGGCTCTAAGTCTTTCATTTTTATATGTATGCTGAACCTCGGGTATTCAATTTTTCCCAACGGTTCAGCACGATACCTACCTGTTCCGTCTGTTGATTCTCCTTGATAATAGTTGGATGAGCTTCCACCGCCACCATAGCCACCTGGTTGCATATTTTCTTTATAAAAACAATCGGCTGTTCCATATTTTGTTATCTTATGACCAAAAATTCCTTTGCCACCTATCGTCGCAAAAATTTTGATTGCACTTTGAAACAATATGATACCTTTGACATAACCGCCTGATTCGCCATTACTATCAATTTTGTTGCAAATTGTGTTGCCACCAACACGTGAAACAACATCATCTGAGATACAACTTCCGTCTGGTTTTCGAAATGATGAAGTTTGTCCTGCATGACTTCCACCACTCGCTCCATATAGTTGGAATTTGTATAAACCTGCTTGTAATTCTATAACATAGTCTGTGCAAATGTGTGATTCCTTACAAGGGTAATTAAAGTAATATTTATTTCCTTCTACAGATACACTTACATTTGCACCTTGTACTGTATTATTTTCAAGTGAATATCGCATCATGGTACCCAAATGATAATCTCATAATAGTTTAAAACATATTTTATTTTGATTTTATTTTATGTCCTTGAAGATCTTAGCTGTTCATAATATTAAAGTTGAAATTTTCCAAATTCCAATTACCTTCATTAATTTGTCGAGTTGAAATTGATTAATTTTAAGGTAATATTAGGGCTAAAAGAAGCTTATCCTTCAGTTTTGAGAGTAGTGATGTTCAAGATAGAGAAGATAAGGAAAATTCAAAAGTTAATTAAAGATTATTCAATGAGTATGCATGACAATCATACCAAAATGCATTTCATTTCATCTCAGTAACCAAGGATAACATTAAAATTCTCTTGAAGCAAATTTTGATTATGTATTAGTTAAATTCTGATAAAACCCTAGTCATATAATGGAGAAAGCTGTTATTGCTACAAATGGATTTTGATACAATGAAAACTTGATCAAAATCAGTATAATTCAACTTCAATTTCAAAATTATTATGATAAAATCAGGATTATTTGTTAAAAAAGACTAATTAAGGAGTTTTTAGGATATAAAAAGCTAAAAGTGTAGCTTAAGCCCATGGCTCGAATGGAAGGTTGAAAGCATCAGCAACTCCCTTGAATGTAACCTTTCCATTGACGATGTTAAGGCCTTGAGCAAGTCCCTTGTCATTTCTGCAAGCCTTCTCCCAGCCGAGATTAGCAATCTGGAGGGCGTATGGCATTGTTGCATTAGCAAGAGCTGGTGTGGATGTGAATGGAACAGCACCTGGGATGTTGCCAACACAGTAGTGAACCTTTCCTTCGTAGATGAAGGTTGGATCTGTGTGAGATGTTGGATGAGATGATTCGAAGCAGCCACCCTGATCGATAGCGACATCGATGAGGACGGTTCCGTCTCTGATAAGCTTCAACATGTCCTTTGAGATAAGATGTGGAGCCTTTGAGCCTGGAACAAGAGCGCATCCGATGATTAAGTCAGCGTGTGGAAGTTCTTGCTCGATGTTATACCTTGTGCTATAGAGTGTTGAGACGTTAGCTGGAAGGTAGTCTCTGATTTGGTTCAAACGTGGGATTGAGACATCAGTGATTGTGACTGTTGCACCCATGCCAGCAAGAGAAAGGGCGGCGAAATAGCCGACTGTGCCTGCACCAAGAACGAGAACGTTGGCTGGCTTAACTCCTGGAACGCCGGAGAGAAGAATTCCCTTTCCGCCTTGTGGTCTCTCGAGGAATCTAGCACCTTCTTGAGCGGACATTCTTCCAGCAACCTGTGACATTGGAACGAGAAGTGGAAGAGAGCGGCCATCTGGTCCACGAACTGTTTCGAATGCAATGCAAACAGACTTTGACTTGATCATTGCTTCTGTTAATTCCTTATCGCAGGCGAAGTGGAAGTATGTGAATACGATCTGGCCTTCGTGGATCATTTCTAATTCTGGGCCAAGTGGTTCCTTGACTTTGTAGATCATATCAGCAATGTCGTAGATTTCCTTGGCTGTTTGGAGGATTTTAGCACCAACGGATACGTAGATTTCATCTGGGAAGCCACTTCCGACACCGGCGTTGTGCTCAATGTAGACTTCGTGGCCATTGGCAACGAATTCTTGGACACCGGATGGTGTAATGGCAACACGGAATTCATGATCCTTGATTTCCTTTGGAATACCAATCTTCATTGTTCTTACGAAAGAAGAAGTGAAGTGAGGATTTCTATTTGAAATTATTGTAAAAAACGATTAACAATACTGAAATAATTCTGTGAAATATAGGGGTTTTATTCAGAAATAAAAATCTTTTACATTTCACAACGAAATCTCACTCTACATTGAGACATTTTTGTGATGTAATAATGTGAGATCATCGGAAAAAACAATGAAAAAAAATTTGACATGTGTGAAAATGAATCAGAATTGATAATTAATGATATATATTTCGAGGAAAATTGAAAAGCAGATTGAAATTGAATGATATTTAATTATTTCGAATCTGCAATATAAATAGGACATTATATTATTTTATTATCCATTCAAATGGTTTTCATTCAAATTTTTGGGAATAGATGACAGATTCATTCAAATTGATTTCACTTCACCATCATAGCGGTATGGTATTTAAATGCAATCAAATCATTTAATAATATTATATGATATTCTTCCCTTTTTTGTACATTTCCAAAAAAATTTAATTCGATTAAATTTTCAATGTCATCTCAAATCTGTATTATCTTAAAATTTTAAATGAAAAATAAAAACGATCAAAATTGAAAATAAAACAAATTCATCGATTGTTTTACTATTTAAAACAATATATTTTTAAACGAAATTCTGTCAAATTAATAATTTTCGTCATTTTCTCATAATTATGGGTTTATCATGATGTGTATGTTGAGATCTGGTATATGTTTACAAATGTGACTCTATTTCGATTAATAGTTGGTTCAAAAAACATTTCTCCAAATTTCTCCAAGTCTTTTCATTTTGCGTTTCGTTTGTCATAAATGATTCTCCAACTATATCCAATTCCATCCTGCTTGCAAATAATCTAAAATCAAAAGATCTAAGAATCTTCCGATTAAAACTTGAACAAAAAGACAAAAATTGTTGGACTGAACATAATAATACTTATCCAAATGAGAATACTACGTTCATTTTCAACCCTTTTCCATCCATACCCCTTAATTTGCAAAATTAAACAAATATTTCTATAAATAGATCCCTATTCAAGTTTTCGTATTAGATATTCACTCTATTTTATATCTTTTATCAAAAATGAAAATATCCTTTCAATGAAAATTAAATGAAAAGGATAAAGCTGTTACTGAAAGCCATTATTCTCAAAATGTAATAATACTTCAATTAAATCAGTATTAATGTAATTTAAATGTTAACGTGTAAAAATGAAATCTAGTCGATGAAGTATTTCAAAAAGAATCAGGCAAAATTATGCAGTATCTACGAACTTACATCATTTCATCATAGGAGTTAACAGATGAAATGCATGCAAGATGGCATCGTATTTGAAGTGCTTGGATATCCAAGTGTTATCCTAATATTACAAACATGAAACAAAAATTCTAAAGTATTTAGATACTATTCATGAATAAATTACGAATTACTTAATCGAAATTCTTTAAGGCAACTTGTTTTATCTATATTTACTACTAATATGACTCATTCTACGAATTCTAATATTAATGTGTGTTGAATGCTATCGGTTTCACATGTTATGGAATGAGAGAGAGTCAATCCATTTAATTTAATAAAATTATTATAAATTATAATGCAATTGTTTTGGTCTTATATAACTATTCATTATTAAGATGAAATTTCCAAAAAATAGTAATTGATAAATAAATTTCCGCTTTTACAAATTTTTCCTGTAGTACATTTTAGATATTTGCCAGATATCAATAAAACTAGGGTTGTTAGATTCCCGACGATAGGTGTCTTGGAAGATTTGCCTGGTGTCATCATAGTGTCTTTAAATCAAAAATTTTATTTTGGAGTGAGTTTTATTGATTTTTCAATAAAAAACATTTCTAAAACAAGAAAATAAAACGATAAAATATTTATATTTTATATAAGGATCTTATATATTTAAAATAAATATCATTTTATTTTTTTCATTGGTGTCTGTCAAACCATAATACACTATTCAAAAATTCAATGTGTCTTGCGGTTTCAAAAGACACCTTCAAATTGAACGATAGCACAGACACTATTGAATTTTACCCATTTTATTTAGTTTTTACCCTTTTTATTTTTAAGAATTAATGACTGAAACAGCCGTTTTGCTATGACCTCAATCACTTTTATTTATTATTTTAAATATTATTTAATTTTATTATTTGAATAGGCCAACTTATATTTGAGAAGCTCAATTTGAGACCACTTAATACATTGAAATATCATAAATATTGAAATATTAAAAAGTGTATTTCAAAATATTGAAATTATAAAAATTTATAATACTGAAATTGAGACAAATTAATAAATTCAATGTGTTTTTTTTTGAAATAACTCTCAAATATTATTTTTTTGTTTATTTAATGATGAATAAATATGATTGCTTTAGTCAATCATAAAAACTAATTTCAGTTTAAAATAATGAAAGGATAATTTGATCGTTTTTTAAAATACAATTATTTTTGATGATTTGCAAGAATCTTTGAAAAGAATATAATATAGGTTCTATTTTTGTAAAATTTATCCAAATCATGTATTACATAAATTACGATTAAAACAATGAAAGAACCAAAAAGTGTGTTTTGTGTTTTGTTGTTGCGTGTTGGATGCGGGATCCTGTTATTTCTGAAATCGACAAAAAATTTGGAAATATAATTTCCGAAATCGAAATTATATTAATGTTTTTAATATTCTTATATCAAAAGGATTAAAGTTCATTAAGAGAAAAACAATTCTTCTTCTTCAATCTATTGGCGCATTTATTTCTACACGCCAATAAGGAAGGAAAATTTATAAGACACCATGGTGTCTTCAAAAAGCTCATTTTTGATATTATCTCCCTTCCTTATTGGCGTGTAGAAATAAATGCGCCAATAGATTGAAGAAGAAGAATTGTTTTTCTCTTAATGAACTTTAATCCTTTTGATATAAGAATATTAAAAACATTAATATAATTTCGATTTCGGAAATTATATTTCCAAATTTTTTGTCGATTTCAGAAATAACAGGATCCCGCATCCAACACGCAACAACAAAACACAAAACACACTTTTTGGTTCTTTCATTGTTTTAATCGTAATTTATGTAATACATGATTTGGATAAATTTTACAAAAATAGAACCTATATTATATTCTTTTCAAAGATTCTTGCAAATCATCAAAATAATTGTATTTTAAAAAACGATCAAATTATCCTTTCATTATTTTAAACTGAAATTAGTTTTTATGATTGACTAAAGCAATCATATTTATTCATCATTAAATAAACAAAAAAATAATATTTGAGAGTTATTTCAAAAAAAAACACATTGAATTTATTAATTTGTCTCAATTTCAGTATTATAAATTTTTATAATTTCAATATTTTGAAATACACTTTTTAATATTTCAATATTTATGATATTTCAATGTATTAAGTGGTCTCAAATTGAGCTTCTCAAATATAAGTTGGCCTATTCAAATAATAAAATTAAATAATATTTAAAATAATAAATAAAAGTGATTGAGGTCATAGCAAAACGGCTGTTTCAGTCATTAATTCTTAAAAATAAAAAGGGTAAAAACTAAATAAAATGGGTAAAATTCAATAGTGTCTGTGCTATCGTTCAATTTGAAGGTGTCTTTTGAAACCGCAAGACACATTGAATTTTTGAATAGTGTATTATGGTTTGACAGACACCAATGAAAAAAATAAAATGATATTTATTTTAAATATATAAGATCCTTATATAAAATATAAATATTTTATCGTTTTATTTTCTTGTTTTAGAAATGTTTTTTATTGAAAAATCAATAAAACTCACTCCAAAATAAAATTTTTGATTTAAAGACACTATGATGACACCAGGCAAATCTTCCAAGACACCTATCGTCGGGAATCTAACAACCCTAAATAAAACTTAGTTTGGAATTTTGATCCATATAGAAATTTTTAATCAAAATAAATGCAAAAAATTAATTTTTTTTAGAAGCATTTATGATTGATAAATTTTAAATGAACAAAATATATATGTTATTGCCGTTATTCTGTTGATTTAAAAATTAGCTATTTTTATGATTATCCAATCATTTTTATCTTAAAATCTTTTTAAATTACAAATATTCTGCCGAAAACTTAATATGTAGTAATATTTGTATGCACATCTCTGATAAAATCAATGATTGGTATTTTTTTTATTTTCACGTTGCAAATTGAGAACAATTGAAATTAACTTTTCACTTTTTTCAATGCTAAAATTTTAATAACATCGGCATATAATTAAAATGATTTTTCATGATCTGAAACCAAAACATTTCAATGTATACGTCTGTCACTTTTCGGTTCACAACATTTCCCAATTATTCCTAAAATTTATTACATTAAAATTATCTTACATCTTTTTTCCCCATAAAAATATTTTTTCGAAAATTTGTCAAAATGCCCGAAAGCAACCTGGATTTTGCGCGTTCAAAAAGAATCACGTACAATACATTGTGCATGATAGGCAGTCTTCTCAGTTATTATCTCAGAAATATTGTTTATGCTCAAATGTCTTATACCTACAAGGGCTGCCAAAAGGTAATATTTAACAGACCATGGATCGGAACACTAAAAATCGATCCTGAACATGGCCCAAAATGCGAAATATACCATTTAAGCTCTATCTCTTCGCATCTCTACCATCGTTATGCGATATTTTGCTTTCCCTGTTTTATTCTTACTCAATTGTCGAAAACGAAGGTTCAATTTCAATTGCCCTTCGATTTTTCAATTTACTATTCATCGTACTTATCAATTATCTCGTATTTCGTCCGAAAAAATATGCATTTCAGTGGACAGCACTCGCTATTGTTTTAGTTGGCATTATATTTGTTAGTTGTTCTGTTTTAGTTGGCACGAATACAAAATTAAATTTAATCGCCGTAGTTTTACAAGTAATTGCTCAAATTATTCAATCTACGAAATCAACAATCGAACAAAAATTATTACACGAAAATGATATTTGCCCAT